TTCTTCGTCGTAAGGATAAATCGATGTAAAATAAGTCAATTACATAACATCGGCATGAATATTTCACCAAAATTTTAAAAATAAACGTACCTAATTGCAAACGTACTCTGTTAATTTGGTGGCGCTGTCGTCGAATTAAATCCACTGTTTGTATACAACCGTTTGTTTTTCGGTACAATGTTTAAGTTCAAACAGTAAGCTCTTATGTATTTATGTTCAGTTGTCATATTTAATGTGTCTGTCTGCGTACTAGTCTCGCAACACGAAATGTAGAGAGAATTGTGCAAGTGCAAACAGTGTTGCATCTGCATATTATGAACTACTATAAGTAGTACTTTTTTTTAAGGGGGGAAAATCATCCAGCCTGGGTGAGGCGGGAGGGAGTGTAAGACTCTTTCTGACTAAAAACCACGGGGTGGTTTTTTTTCCTTCTCCTGCGCTTCGAGCCGGAGCCCCGGTAACCCGTTAGGTTCTCCGCGACACTATAAGTAGTACTAGTAACTTTAATGAGGGTAATAAGTTTTGGTTAATTTCTTATTTCTTATACACGTCTGATACTCATTGTATGAGCTGAGCATGCTCTTAATTTGTATTGGGTAACCTACTATGTAGAGACCCCAACAATCTAGAGAAGCACATCTTGTGGTTGTTGGTCGGGTTAACGGGAAAAGACCTCGTGGTCGCTCACCTACCCGGTGGTTGGATGCTGTAAAAAACCTAACCGGCCTGACAATTCTACAAGCCATAAAGACCGCAGAGGACAGGGGCGTTTGGAGGAGGGTTGTGCATCAAGTGACCAGACTAGACACGACTTTTAGTAATGAAGAGAACGACTAGGAAGAAAGGAATCTACTATGTAATTTCATTTTCAAGTTTCTTCATTCAAGTATTATCATTTCCAAAGGAGCTTAAAGATTTAAAAAAAAAATATTCCTAAATCTTATTTATTACAAAATAGGTTTCCGATTCTAAAACCGCGAATATTTCAGCAATGACTTCATTAGGTCGTTGTTCCAACAAATCATGCGCGTGCGACTGTTTATTGGCAAAGATCGAAGCTTCGCGGCTCCCTTTGAGTTGGTGTGTTCACCTTATTGTTTATACTCCACTTGTAATCCATCAGCGATTGTTTAGTACTTACAAAGAATTCGTGGCTCAAATGATCTAAAAGAAAATCATGAAATGTTTATTCGAAAATTCTTAACATTCCTCATACTGATTCTTTTATCGTTCGCTAACAATCCAATTCATAGAGTTAATTATGTCTCTGAGAGAAACCCTACACAAAGTTCCTTGTACTGCAAAATTGTCCGTGCTGCCCAGAAAGTTGATTCGGAGGCATTATAACCTCATCTTTGACCGTCCAGCTTACAGACTAGGTACTTGATTCGAAAAAGATCTGGCATATTACGTACAACCATACAAAACCGCTGCAATTACCTGCAAACCTGTAAGCAATATATATACAGTACAATAGAGTAGATACAACCATGAAAACACCGGAATACTGATAACCGGCGCGTCGCAGGGATATGAATAATTGTCTTTGATCCCGCAACGAAAGAAATCAGAAGATAATATTAGAGGAGTTGAAAAAACACAGAGTTCGTGAATAAGTATGTAGGTACACTCAACCTGACAAGTGCGTGCATAGCTTGACCTCATTTAAATATTTGGTTAGCCTAACCAGAAGACCAAAAACGCAAAACAATACATGCATAAGTATCTATTATACTTAATATTATTATTCATATCGCATCAATGCACTTTGCTAATCATACGAAATAATGATGACTTACCGAATAGATCGTGTCATGTCATGTCGTAGGACAATTGAAAAGTTTAATTATTTGCGATTATCCTAGAATTAGCAAACCTTCTTATGTAGAGAAGGCCCATATCGTAACAGAGGACTATGACGGGCTGTTAACTTTAATACAGATTAATGTAAAACAATATTGTAACAAAAAAAAACAGAACAAAACCATAAGCAAACAACAAAGCGATGCTGAAAGTTTGATTTATTGATTGTAAGATGTTTTGGTATGCGTAAAACTCGGAGATATCTAAACAAATTTTGCAAATTCCTTTTCATTGTGTTTGTTAATAGGTACCTAATAAAACAAGACTTATAAAAGGAATATCATCGGAAGGGTCGGAAAATTACCCGCTGGCAATGCCAAGTACAGTTCTTTAAATTTTGTTGTGCCTGACATCCGTGATTGTTACTATTGTATTTTCTAACCACCTGTATGTGTTCATTATAAATGCAATAAATTGACTTGATTACCAGGTGTATTTGTAGCTTAAAAATACTAGATTATCCTGCGACATTTGCATATATGAAGTACAGGATGTTGAATTGTCTCAAAAACTTATTAGCAATGCTTAACTACCTCCATGACTCATTTATTGATAAAGTAATTGTGCATTCGTGACATCAATGGACACATTTGCATCGCTATATTCAAATTGGTGCGTGGTCCTTGGTGCCTAACTTATGAAGTGTTACCCATAGTCGCGCGGAAGTTGGTCCTTTTGAGATCAACCTTCAATGACTTAGTGTTTGGAGACTAATTGTGATGTAGATAAGCTATTAGATTAATGTATGATAAACAATATATATTTAGACTTATCATAGATTTATGGAGACTAGTAGGAAGACCCACAACTTGTATTTATGGTATTAGAAATTACGACTTAAGTTTGTTAATATTATTATCCCGTATCAGCAGTTAACTATATTGTACTGTAATTCCTTTCTTATAGGAGGTACAATGCTTTAATTATTACAGTGAGTTTGTCCAACACCAAAAATTTATCTACGTATTATACAAATTCCTAATCCCAAAAAAAATCTTAAGACCACATCTACATGATCCACATTCGTTCCCATTTCCACATTCATGACCCACGAAGTAATCCAAGCTTACCAATTAACAGTATTAAAAGAGCAATAATGATACGTGATTCCCATTCACATTACTGTTGTAATTAAACTGGTGTATCTGACTAACTGTCAGATAAACCTGCCTTTGTTTAGCAACGGATGGTAATTAACTCATTCCTTTCATCCCGGTCCTTAGGTCCGACGTCCCGTGGGATCCGATTGAGTTTTGAAAGCGTGAGTCATGGAATTTCGGCGGTAGTTATTATTGGTATTTACTTACTTAGACCTTTTTTATATTATTTTGTTTTGATAGTAATGTTTGTTACCTTTATTAGTGGGCCAGAATCCAAGAAATAATGTCCATAGCTTAATTAACTAAAAATCGTGGGTTACTCACGTGAATATACTAAGAAAAGCTCTAGTAGTTTCTAGAGTTTTAGTAGGCTGCGTGACATCGCCATGCTGCTCATGAGGAAGAGCCCCTATGTGGCTCGAAATTAGTAGAGGTTTTCTCAATATACTCACTTGGGTAATCCGCGACTTTTAGTTATTTTAGTATGTCTTACAATAGTTATGATGCCCATAGCTTTTGAATTTGAAGTCAGACTTTGTACCAGGAGAAAATAAAGCATAAGACAATAAGTAGTTAAGTTACAGCAATAAAAATGACACCTACGTCAGTGAAATTATTATTTAACTAATAATAGTTAGGTAGGATTTTATAATAACTATCATAAGACATACTAAAGTAACTAATTATGACGGTTTACTCACATGAATGTTTTAGTTAATTTAGTTAACTAAACATTACAAATCTAAGTAGAGTTTGTAATAACATATAAAAAAATAATAAAAATAAATCAAATGTTAGACAGACCAGAATCCCGCTGACGTTTATAACTTGTTCTATTAAATAATAGAGATATTATCAATAGTAACACGAAGGTACAGTTAGCCGCCTGAGTCCTGTATCTACAATATTTATCTACGTTTCGGTGTTCGACAGATGACAACAAAGATTTAGTTGTTGATTAAACTTTTATTTACGTCCCATTACGTTTTGTAATTGGTCCTCCGGCTGTACTTGGAGACTCGAGATTAAAAAAATTATAGGTTATAGAGGCGAGATTAAAAAAAATAGGGACATTTGTGTTTTTGGATGAATATCCAACTACTTATTTAAATAATTTAAAACCGTACATCACAATCCTTACTTACTTACTTATATTATAAATCGGAAAGTGAGTTTGTTTGTTTGTTCCACTTTAACGCTGTAACTACTAAACCGATTGCTTTGAAATTTTGCAGTCGTAAAGTTAGAAGTCCGGATTACATAATAGGGTACTTTTTATCCTTAAAAAATTTGATATTCCCGAGGGAAAACAAAAATATTGGTATAGATGGCGCTGTGTGTATATGTCACATTGGCTTTTTATCCTTTTGTGACGCGAGCGAAGCCGCGGGTAAAAGCTATTAATATTATAAATGTGAAAATTCCTTTGTTTGTATATTTGTCCGTCAACCATGTTGAAACTAATAAACTGATTTTGATGAAATTTGGTATACACGCAGGGTATGGGTTGACTTAGGTGATAGGATACTTTTTCATCCCGAATAATTGCTCCTATGAGATAAAACAGGAATCATATTCTACGCGAACGAAATCTCGGGCAACAGCTAGTACTTAATATAGATTGATATAATTAATTACATAGTATTAAAACTCGACTAGGTATCGAACTCCGCCCAAGATAACCTAAATTAAGGTATAGACTTTTGATTTCAAAACTAAAAATACTAGTCTGATATTGCCATTTAACTGTTATACACATATGTCCTTTATTAAGGCCTTGATGTTATTAACATGACATTGACGATTATGTTTGCTAATAGCAATATCTATTTCCAGCAGTTAACGGAAATGTTATGATAATAATTTTGATTTATTAATTATTATTATTATATAGTTTTATCCAGTGGCATTAAAACCGAGTACCTAATGTTTAGTAAAATTATTTTATTGATAGATTGTTTTTCAAAAATGAAAACTGTCTATCTCTTTTTTGTAATTAATAGTAAAATAATCATATTGTTTGTTTGTTTGTTTCAGATCGCTGCTACTAGCAGTAATCGTATTAAGTAATTGTATAACATGGACCGCTTCGAGACACCATTACGCACACAATGTAAGTACACACACATCTATAAAACAGACATTCTGGAACCAAATTGTAAGATCCTGCAACACTGGGCTCGGCCAAGACTCCAGCATATCATACTCCACGCTCCACTCAACAGTCGCAGTCGATCACTCTACCACTAATAAACTACCATGATCGATGAAAGGTCATCGTCATTTCTCCGACACATTCAATTTGCACTCATAAATCTATCATTTACCAACTACAATAAAATCAGAAGTGTGAAATAAATCCGATCTGATGCTAAGGAGCACCGACCGCTAAACGTTCAAACCTTGACATTGGGTCGCAGACGGCCACGAGCGTGGTCAAGCACCATTTATGTACTTTATGACAATAAGAACCACGTCTATATTTCGAGAACCATATTTCAATCATCGACCATCACATCCCATTAGCCACCGGACATTTATGTCTACCTAAATAATAATAGATGAGTTCTTTAAATAAAATTGCAATGTTTTCAAACTGTCGCCATTTAGCATAAAACATGGCGTTATTGATTCATATTTATTAGTTATTCTACAATAAGTTATTGCTAAAATTACCTATTTAGTTTGTTTACATGTGATACATTTCGACGAATGATGCCAAAATTACTTAGTAGTCATCAAAGATTGTGATTTAACAGACTTGCTATCCATTTGGTCCTTACGCTTTCAAAGGACCAAATTATTACCACCCGCGTCTCAAAGCTGGCTCCTAATAACTGTGAGACCAATAAACCAGTTCATCGATCACTAAAATTAAAACAGTCATAAACTAATAAACGTAACGTTATTACAATCACGAATAATGTTTCGTTGGATGCCGCTGAGTGACGCATCCAGCATCTGACGAAGTCTCGTGTCAGCCACAGCGTGAGATCATGAGCCGACCCGTTGCGTTACTTACACATTTAATGACAGGGCTGACTGCTCATACATATAGGTACATATTTTTAAGTGTTGCTTCCAATATAACAAAGAACTTACTAACTCATCCGTAAATTCGAATTCGTTATGCGGACAAATTCAATGTACGTAGTTTCTCCTTCGAATCTATTAACACGATATAACTGAAGCAAAACATTTTATTTTAATGAGAAAAAATAGTGCATCACAAATTATTAGCCTATTTAGCTTAGATTGTAATTACAGTCTATGTAGAAAATAGAATTCAGCTTCACCACTCCGCAAGCATATTTTACTCTTGGCACACATGAAACACTTAAGTCCGAATCGTGATGGCATACCCGGAAAATTCTGACTTAATCTGCATACTGATATTTATAGAACAGACGACATCATTAATATTTCATGACAGGATCTTTATGACGAACACGTCCAGTGCAGACATTCGTAATATGTAGACGGAATTTTGGATGTGTATTGACATACAAACTAGGAACACAGTAAACAATGTAAATGAAGAGTGACAGCCCTAACCGAAAGTAATAGAAAAACATCAGAATAGTCATAAATCTAATCAGGGTTGGCGCCTATTGATGGGCGGCCGCTCACCCCTCCCTCTTTCAGCTTAGTCCTATTTCTGTACGTATGACTTGATGATCACCATACGAATTTATCATTTCTTAAACTGTGTCTTTTGTAATATCTTATTTTTGGAACGCTTGCCAAGATGGCGCCAGAGCTATAAATTATGAATATCAATTACTTTATTTAATCATCTAACTAATCGTTTTTGTCTTAACACATTTTATTCGCCAAAACAATAATAATATTATTATAAATGTCAATGTTAGGAGAATTCTAATTGAACTATTGCTTGATACTTTGATACATTCAAATCGATTTGATTTACCTAATTGTATCCATTAAGCCAGAGACAATCTCCTTACAGCATTGACGTACGTAAAGTTTACTTAGTTCTCAATAAATGTTGTCAATACGTGTTCTCTACTCAAGTAATTAAACTTGAATGGCGCATATTTCCTGTTGTCGCTTGTCGCCGACAGGTGGCGTGTCGAGTGGGGAAATGAAAATAAACTGTCACCCACAGCCTTGTCCACACTTAATCGAGTACCTTCGCTTTGTATGGCTATGGGGCCGGACTTAGGATACATGTCAGTGATAGTAATCTCGTCCTTTAATTTAACACTCGTTAAATCACATGGGTTTACTTGCAAGCTATTCAAAGCACGATGATGAGGCACTGGCTGGATTCATAAATCTTGATTTTTTTATAGCTTCAGTAGTACCTACTTTTTTTTAGGATTATTTTCCTGTGTCGTGGGTGCGTTTACATACAAGTTCACATACACACCCAGACCCAAAACAACAATTTGTGAAACTTTACTTTAGTTTAGCCTCTGGCCTGAGTAGTTTTTACTCAAAACTCGTACAAAGTCAAAGTCAAAATCATTTATTTTAATTAGGCCAGAATGGCACTTTTGAACGTCAACAAAAAAAAATTAAACGTGAAGCTATTTGCTCATTCCAAGGTGTAGATTCCTATGGAGAAGAACGAGCAAGAAACTCCATAGGTTTGTCAACTTATTTTTCAAAATAGATACGTATATCTACTACATTATTTTTATCCTGTTGTGTCGTTTTAAATAATCCAACTCCGGCCCTTTTATCCGAATCTACTTCACCCGCAGTGCACCTCGTTGCAACACTCACACTGCCTCAGCAATGCACTACAAGTGGTTTATCGTCATAACATTTTACCTACACTCGCCGGTGACGCGCATTTTATTGCTAAGAGCTGTTTTACACCGAGCGTTAAATAATAGACGCGGCGGGTGGCACGTCCATATGAACCCAGCTTTATATCAAAGCTGTTTATGTGAAATGATCTCAATTTTTATTATTAAAACAAATGTTATTAAGCGAAGTGTTTCTTACAAAATACTTTTATTGCATTATGAATGTTGTTTAAGAATGAATCGTCAATAAAAACGAAATATAAAATCTTGTACACTTCACACTACATAACTTCACGACCTTTGTCCCCGAAGGGGTGGGCAGTGGTGCACATTACGGCACTTAATGCCACTATACAATGTAACACCCACTTTTCGCTATTTCTGTTATGAGTCCCATGTAATAGGTTCACCCGAACCTATTGCCATATACCGGGCACAATTGCAGACTCCGTGCTATTACTGAGATTTTTTTAAAACTCAGTAATACTTTGCCAGACCCGGGAATCGAACCCGAGACCCCTTGCCCGGCAGTCGCACTAGCGGCCACTCGGCCAACGAGGCAGTAAAATCTTGTAATACTTAAATGCCATTATGTTCACCAGGTTCACCAACACCGCACCAGACACAGGCGGCAAGGCGCCGGCCTATATCTACCTGCATCCTACGTCATACCTGGAGGAGAGGGGTCGGGGCCCTGGGGGGACTGGGGTGAAATCTCCCCTTGCTCTAGGACCTGCGGAGGAGGTGTAGCCAGCCAGAAGAGAATATGTCTAGAGCCAGGGTAAGATAGAAACTATTTTTATATTTACTACTTGATAATCGATCCAAGATTATGTTCCACAGACTTTGCGCTTTACTAATTCTATTTTTGAGCAAAACTTGCTTATTCTAAGAAAATATTAGAGCAGATTAAACCTGCATCCATTATGTGAAGCTGCATTTACAAATTAAAAAATAGAGAGTCCCCATAATAGCATCACCTACCGTGGTGGAGACCTTTGATGACCGTCTTCTCTAATCTTACAGACCACAGAACTCGTGTACTGGCGGCGACACGAAGTACTTCTCGTGCCAGACTCAGGACTGTCCCGCCGGCTCGGGCGACTTCAGAGCCGAGCAGTGCGCAGAGTTCAACGACAAAGAGTTCAGGGGCTACAAGTACAAGTAAGTTTCTTCTTACATCTAGTCATCCTACTCGCTTCTACTCACATCGTTGTACTACAGACTTCTCGTATAAATTACAGTTGGGTGCCGTACACAAAAGCCCCAAACCCTTGCGAGCTGAACTGCATGCCACATGCAGAGCGGTTTTACTTCCGACACAAGCAGCGCGTGGTAGACGGCACCAGGTGTAATGAGGACTCCTTCGACGTGTGTGTCAACGGTGTCTGTCAGGTAACACTCACTCCACATGACTGTATAACTGTCTCACTGCCTACTCCACGTGTTGGGAGACTGTATTACCGTGCTGCCATACTTCCAGCACGTGGGCTGTGACATGATGCTGGGCTCCAGTGCCAGAGAGGACAAATGTCGGGAGTGCAGAGGGAACGGCACCAACTGTCACACCATGGAGGGATTATTCGACTCTCAAGATCTCTTAAAAGGTAAAACTCATTTAACAGTCAAAGAGAAACTTAACCATAATAGGCAAAATGCAGACCTGATATGCATTCTACATCCCTTCCTCCTCAGAGAATGAAATAACTGGGTTAAAATTATGTGTAATAATAAACTTTAACTTTTAATTATAGGCTACAACGACATCCTGCTGATTCCTGAAGGCTCCACCACTATCATTATTGAGGAAATAGAACCTTCCAATAACTACTTAGGTAAGTTCTTCACTCACTATTTTCTAACTAAAAGCGAAACTACGACTAAACATTTTCTAGACAACTTTACATTTATAGCATATTATTACTATCAACTGACTGTTTTCGACCTTGTAGAAGAATAATAACACTTATACTTACAGCATTAAGAGCTAAAAATGGCACGTACTACCTAAACGGTCACTACCACATCGACTTCCCGAGGAGTATCATGATCGCTGGTGCTCTCTGGACATACGAGCGCAGCCAGCAAGGTTTCCCTGCGCCTGACAAACTCCGCTGCTTGGGACCTATCACAGAACCTCTGTATCTTTCCGTAAGTAATTTTTCTTATAATTTGGACTTATGTACAATTGTTTTTTCATCATTGAAATTACTTAACGACATTATGATGTATGGTGGATTGTGAAGTTCTAAAACACTATCCACCTTTCTCATTAAACTTCATCAACATTAAGTTAATTCATATGTTTATTCGTCTCACAGCTTCTTCTTCAAGATGTGAATGTAGGAATCAAATACGAGTACAGCATTCCCAACAACTCTACGCCTCCGACCGACAAGCAGTACAATTGGGTACACGAAGAATTTACACCATGCAGCGCCACCTGCGGCGGAGGTGAGTACTATTGATGCGTAAGAGCAATACACGTTGCTTTAATAATTTTATTAGGCACCGGTCGATGACCCCCTTAATAAGGTTTTAGCGTTTTCGATGTAACCTTACTTCTATCTTTAAATGAACAAAACATTCTAATATGTAAGGGTTTGTAATTAGCTAAATGTTTTATTATGATTAAACCCTATTCATTTAGTCATTTGCCTACTAGAAACCACTGTTTATAAAGGAACCAATAAATTTTAACATCCTCTGTAATTTCACCCCAGGTTTTCAAACCCGCAACGTGACATGCAGATCGAGGGAGGAGTTGGAGGTGGTTGATAGCAACTTATGTGATGAGGGTCTGAAGCCCCCCACGAACCAGTCCTGTAATCAAGACCCGTGCCCTGCGCAGTGGGTGGCGGGACCTTGGGGAGACTGCTCTAAGAGGTGTGGCAGCGGAGGCATTAAGTCTCGGGAGGTCACCTGCCAGAAAGTCATTGCTAATGGGTAAGGATCTAAAACTCGATACGAGGATCTTCAGGACTTCATACTTAGCTAAGTACAACTACTTGCGACCCTAAAACACAAACACAATCAATAACATCGTTAAACGTTTCGTTTGAAACTAAATATTTTTTTTTAAATAATACAAAAATAACTTGTTCTCTGTCCAGCATCGCATCCATAGTCCCTGATAAGGAGTGCTTCGACTTATTGGGTCCAAAACCTGAGCTGTTCCAAAAGTGTAACGAAGATGCGCCCTGTCCAGACTGGTTCGTAGGACACTGGAAACCGGTAAGTAGTATAAAAATATGCAATAAATATACAAGAAAAACATATGCATTCAAAAGTATCATGTTATTGTGTAATCAAGTCTCCGTACTAATCTTTATAACTATTCTTCCTCAGTGTGACAAACTGTGTGACGAGGGCAAGCAGACAAGACAGGTGGTATGTCGCCAGAAGATCAATGGCCGTGTGACAGTTCTAGGGGATGGAAACTGCACAGACGAGAAACCAACAGCTGAGCAGAAGTGTATGATACAGCCCTGCGATGGTGTGGACTGGGTGACTTCCGACTGGACTGGGGTGAGTGCAATATGAACCTTTTAGTATCCACTGTAGAATAAACTTACTTTAGAAGAAGAGTTGATAAACCCCCCCTACATCACGCCCACGCTTAGCAAATAGTTTGTGAATTGTAGTTATTAAACAACAATTTAATTAACGGACCCTCCTGTCGATCTTATTGGAAGTTTTGTAGACAGTTAAGAAATATATCTTACATATTATATGACATGGCGCTAACCTACATGCATTAACGTAGTGTATTGAGTTATTGACATTGTGTAACAGTGCGATAAATACGAATAATATTGGTAACTTGCTTCTACTACAATGCCGCGAATTTCTGTGGCCAGGCTGTTAGATGATCATCAACAGCCTCTAAATGCCCACTGCTGAGCAAAGCCTCTTCTCACACGGAGAAGGTTAGAGCATTAATCACCACGCTTGCTCAATGCGGGTTGGCGATTTCAAACTTATAATTAGAAATTATAAGTTCAGGTTTCCTCACGATGTTTTTCCTTCACCGTTTGTCAGTGGTGTCTAAATAATCTTAGAAAGTACATATGACTCGGAAAAAGTCACTTTGGTACTTGCCGTTGGTAGGTTTCGAACCCGCACCCTCATGCATGAGATGTGGGCGTCTTAAACCTCCGGGCCACCACGACATGTTAGATGATATTTCTTTTAAAACACATTAAAGATACATAATTATCATCAAATTAGTGCTAAATAAGAATTCATATTACCTAACTATTTTACACCACTGACTTCTGTCTGTCTTACACTTGATATATTTTACTGTTTCAGTGCGACACCTGCTTTTCAAAATTGAGGACGCGATCTGTAACTTGCGCGACAAAGGGTCAGCAGGTCTTAAACGATAGTTTCTGTACATACCATAACCGTCCAGTGGAGCAGGAAGAGTGTGATGAAGCCAAGCTGCCACCGTGCGAGGTGCAGTGGTACGCCACACAATGGAGCAAGGTTTGTCAAATAGAAGTCCACTGATGTATTGCTATTTAATGTAGACGTCTTTAGTCCCTTTATGTTGATGATGTTAGCAAAAATGAATATGTGCTTACTGACCAAAGTGTTCACTATCGTTGCCAATTGCCCATTGATCCATCCCTATTCTACCTCATCTCTCATTATCTTGTTATAAAATATCTTAAATGCTAATTTTCCTTGCTCTTTCGCCAGTTTCAATATTGTTGTATTGTTGATAGTGTTCCGTTGAGTGCGGCGATGGAGTTCAGACCAGGAAGGTGTTCTGTGGCTTGCTTAGTGACGATAGCGTGGAAAAAGTAGAGGACTCCAAGTGTGCTCACCTCCCGAAGTACAATGAGACCAAACCTTGTTCTGTACCCAAAGAGAAGTGTCCAGCGCAGTGGTTCACTGGACCCTGGACAGAGGTGAGTAGAAAATTTCTTTATACATAGAAACATTATTTTCTGTATGGGAGAGCAATGCTTCGGCACGAATGGGCCGGCTCGACCGATCGAGTGAAACCACGGCCTCACAGAAAACCGACGTGAAGCAACGCTTGCGTTGTGTTTCGTCGTGTGAGTGAGGTTACCGGAGGCCCAGTTACCCTCCCCTTCCCCAATCTCCCCAATTCTTGAATCCCCAACGATCCACAAACTCCTAATCCCAGTAACGCACTTGTAACGCCTCTGGTGTTCCAGGTGTCCATGGGCGACGCCGATTGCTTACCATCAGGTGATCCGTCTGTTCGTTAACCGGCTTATGCCATAAAAAAAAACAAAATAAATTTTAATTATATTATATTCTTGGTTCTTTATTTCATTACGAAACCGTACTAAAATACCGTATGAATGTTGATATAAACTCAATTTTTCTATACATTTGGTAACTATGTATACTATGTCCCAGTGCACCAAAAAATGCGGCGGAGGGGAGCAATACAGACGCGTGATGTGTCTGCGAGGGTCTGAACAGTCCTCCGACTGTCCTGGTGATATGGTGCTGGATTCCACGCAATTCTGCAACACTGGACCTTGCGACAAAGGTATACTTATAACCAACTAGCTTTTACCCGCGGCTTCGCTCGTGTCATAAAAGGATAAAAGTAGCCTATGTGGCATATAACGATATACACAGCGCCATCTATGCTAATGCTTTTGTTTTCCCTCGAGAATATCGAAATTTTCCGGGATAAAAAGTACCCTATTATTTAATCCGGACTTCTAACTTTACGTCTGCAAAAATTCAAAGCAATCGGTTTGGTAGTTACGGCGTGAACCCGGAACAAACAAACAAACAAAGTCACTTTCCCATTTATAATAGTAAGGATAGATGATGAAGTAGGGTAACAAACAATAAAGTTTGTGGCCTGGCACTTTAATGGCAACACCAGAGAGACCTCAAATTCCCAAGTATGTTAGCGGCTAAGTAAGACATTGTTAATTATATCTGCATTTTCGAGGATCCCTTTGTTTACCCTAAAAACGATGGCGTAATTGAAAATGGTTGGACACACCCAGGACTCTTATTTACCAATTACATCACTAGTTCTCCCTGGCATTTACTAAATCCTTCAAGAGGTGCACATTACGGCACTTAATGTCACTGTACAATATAACACCCACTTTTCACTATTTATGTTATAAGTCCCATGTAATAGGGGGTGAACCTATTCAGACCTATTGCCATATACCGGGCACAATTCCAGACTCCGTGCTACCACTGAGAATTTTTAAAAACCGCAGTAGTACTTTGCCCGACCCGGGAATCGAACCCGAGACCCTTTGCCCGGCAGTCGCACTTGCGACAACTGGGCAAACAAAGCAGGGCAAATCTTCATTGGCTTCAAGTTCTTTATTCCAAGTTGTGAGATTTAACAACTAGGTGATTACATAAATGTGATGACCTCTAACGAAATTTTTATATTTTGACGTTCAGATGATCTGCTGCCAGTGGACAAGAAGTCTACCGTTGTTATGGATGATGACGATGATTACTGTGATGAAGATGCGGAGATGGAAGAAGTTGGTTTAGATCTCGATATAACTGATACTACGGTGAGCTTTAAGTTTACATCATTTTGAAAATTATAATGTTCTGTAATAAATCTTTTCCTGAGTGTCTTCAAGGCCCGAGTGACTAGGTTGCTTTTGGGACGACGTGTTCCTTCGTAGACCATATCATCGCTTACCACCAGGCGTGATAGTGGTTAATCGTCCGCCTAGCAAATATAAAATATATATATACTGGAAGTTATTGGGGGACATGTATGTTAAGCAATGGTCATCTTATAGCTGATATAATGATGATAATGAATGGCATTTACATCAAACCGACATTTAAAAATACAATAACAAATTACAATCAACGATATTGTGACATGACAATACAATTTTAAACGTTACAACGTTTTGGTTTATTTGTTGGTTTGGTTTATATATCTTTGGTTTATTTGTTTAGTATGAACTTTAATGTGTTGTTTTTTTTCCAGCCTGACTTACCTCTCAGCGACTCTCCAATAACCAGTAAGTGTACATCCATTCATATACATACATTCCCCAGTAAGAATACATACATTCGATTTTTTGTCAATAAACAGTATAATAGAGAGAGACAATAGAAAAGTAATTTAATAATAATAAGCTTCTTATCCTGAACTGCTTTCTTCTTTATTTGTACTGTTGTCTCTTTAGTTAAAGAATATCTCTCGAGGTCAGTGGGCCTCTTGGCAAAGGCCTCTTCTAACAATTTCCATTGTACTCTGTTTCTCCTTCTCCATTTTGGGCCAGCTGTCAGTTTTAGTTCATCTTCACATAATCTCTTGCTTTATCTTCCTCTGTTTCTATGAAAGTAATTTACCACAAGCAAATAATTTCACCACGGCGATAAAACAGACAATGTGATAGAACTAACATTTTTGTTAATACTTTTGTACTTAAAACAGTTTAAAACTAAAGTTCTTAATTCTAGGTTACGCTGAACATGAAGTTTCTTTGGATACTGGATCCGGATGTAAGTTTGCTGTTATTATTGTAATGTTAATATTTTGTACTTTATTAAAAACCTTGCAATTACCATTTTCTGTATTAACGTAACAATGAAATAGAACGCACCACTGGCGCGAGTGCCACAGCATTTAATTTTTTTTGGGGCTGGGTATATTTTTAATAAATAAATTTATTTAGTTCCACCTCTTTGTTTGTTTGGGTCTAATTTATTTTTCATTCATTTCAATGTTTTTTGAATTTCCTCCTTCCCGACCACAGATCGATCTGATTTTGGTACACACTCGTATTCTTGATGACCATGTTATGGGCCAATTGATTAATTCGGGCAGTATTCATAAAGCCCGGGCAGTATGAATAATGACCAGCTCTGGCCTAGTGACTAGTTACAATATAAACTCACCATGTATCACATTGCCTGGGCATTATGAATATGGCTACATTATGATCAGGCATCAGGATACATTAAAACCTTTAACAAGAAAACATTTTTTATACATTACTAGTTTGGGCTATGTTCTGGTTAACCAATAGATTAATATAGCTCTAAAAATTACAGTTACATCGTTGTCGACGGATGATCTGACGACAGACGAGGGCTCCGGGTTCAGTAGCCTATCGACAGACACGACGGACCTCACTGACTACGATGATGATGGTTCTGGTGAAACCACAGTAAAATCGTTAGTTTCCACAACTACAACTCGAAAACCACCTCTAGGTAAGTAGTCAGTCACCAAATTATACCTACATACAGAGGCCACTTAAAGTAATCATAACGAGTACGCGTTCGGCGTTCTGATTGGTTGGTTCATTGGCGCCAGCCAATCAGAGGGCCAAGCACGAATAACTATCGCATTCGTATCGTAACAGTATCGAGCGAGTTAAGCGTTCTGATTGGTTGGTTCATTTGAGCCGGCCAATCAGAGCGCCGAACGCCACATTTGTTGACAGATGTGGCTTCCTTAGTTTATATATGTAAATATTTGTTACCTATATGTATACATATTATTATCCCTTCACATCACACCTTCTCACAATGACATTATTTAATTAATTAACAATCCACAAACTTGATTTTACAGAGCCTGATGTTGTTGCAAGCAGCGCTACCAAACTTGGTTCATCGCCTACTGACTCAACGTCAAGCGATAGCGATTCAACCGACAGTGAAACAGGTTCTACACCGACTGGTCTCACTGACGACACCGAGGAGACAGCGTCTACTGATGGAAGCTCAACTGATTCCACTGGATCTACTGCTGAACCCGCATCCACATCCTCCGACGAGACTGGTGCTACAAGTTCGACTGAAGCTGATACCAAAGATACTGATGCCACAGAATCAACGGTAGAAGCAAGCAGCAACGCTACTGAAAGCGACTCTACCTCCTCAGACGAGACTGGTGCTACAATTTCGACTGAAGCTGATGCCAAAGATACTGATGCCACAGGATCAACGACAGAAGCAAGCAGCGTCTCTACTGAAAGCGACTCTACATCCTCAGATGAGACTGGTGGAACTGGTTCAACTGAAGCAGTTACGAAAGATACTACAGGATCAAAAGAAGAAGAAGATACATCAAGCACAGACAGCAGTCTCTCTACTGACGTTAAGGGAACATTATCTACAGAAGCAACCAGTTCAGCGGCATCTGAAAGCAGTACTGAAAGTACCGATTCTTCTAGCGACTCCGACAAGACCACACTGACTGCAGAAGAAAGCTCTACTGAAAATGCTTCAACAGGATCTGTTGGAACAGATAAGACTACTTCTACTGGAGAAACTGATTCAACTGTTACAAAAGAAACAAGTGGTACTGAGCTGACAAGCTCTAAAGACACTGATTCCACTGAATCTACAGTCACAAAGGAAACTAGTTCTACTGAATCCACCGCAGCTACTGAAGAATCTAGTTCGACTGAGTCTTCGCCTACAGACACATCTAGCTCTACTGAATCTGCACCTACTGAAGAATCAAGCCCCTCAGAATCCACTATCACTGAAGAAACAGACACCACTGGCACAACAGACGCAAGTGAAACTGATTCAACAGTCACTGAAATTACCGAAACAGCTACAAACACAGACTCAACAGATACTGAAGAAACAACAGATGATCTATCCACTACAGGTACTTCACAATATTTCCTAATTGGTTAGAGTTGCACCCTTATTGCAGTAAAATGTATAAACAAATAACATCCATTTTTCTCATTGTACATGAGTCCCTTTATCCCGTAATCGTGTAATACATTATGTGCCTATTTCCGTAAACTTGGCAGTATTCTACACTCTGAAACTACTTATTCATGTTTTTTTTTATTTTTCCAGATTTGACAACGTCGGCTGCTTCAAAGGGTATGTTTATTTGATCTTGTAATATACATTTTCTTGTTTTTGATCTTTACATTAATTAATATTTTATTGGTTATAGGTTCAACGATCACAACGCGCAAGATGCCAACCGGTACGTATTTTTGACTGTAATATGTGTGTTATGTTATCGCAAAGTAGATTGTTGGATGTCTTATTAATTCGTAACTTATTTTGACAGAACCTGCCGAAACCACTACTCCTAAAGAAATAAGTACTTCTGATAGCTCTGAGTCGACATCTGAAACAGATTCTACATCTAACGTCGAATCTACTACTACGTCAGGATTAGCTACAGGAGAGTCGGACTCAACCACTGAGGAATCAGGTGCGACTACCGAGGAGTCAGGCCCAACAACTGTAGAATCAGGTTCAACGACCGTAGAGTCAGAATCAACGTCTGTTAAATCAGATTCGACACCAGTAGAATCAGGTTCGACCACAATAGAATCAGACTCGACTACAGTAGAATCAGATTCGACAACCGAAGAATCAGGTTCAACAACTGTAGCATCAGGATCGACAACTGTAAAATCGGAAACAACAACTGAAGAATCAGGCTCAACAACCGCTGGATCTACAGATTCAGAAGAAACTAAGGAAAGCACTACAGCTGGTGCTGAGACCACTACCGAAGCCGTTGAAAGTAGTTCACTTGCGGAATCAACTGAAGGTAAATCTACTACGGAAGAAACAAGCACGGAAGCTGTAACCAGCACACCAGAAGGAGAAACAACTGTTGAGACTACTGGAAGTAGCGTGTCTGGATCAACTGAGGAAAGTTCTGCTGCCTCAGAAAGCGAGTCTACAGTAGAAAGTGAATCTACTACAGTTGCTGGTGAAACAACGACAGAAATCAGTGGATCGTCCACAGAACAATCTACTGCTGAGTCTAGTGGTGAGTATGATATTCAAAAGGCAACTGACCAGTTTACTACAGTTCAAAACTGACAAAGATTTAGTATTAGATTTTTGTCAATGAAATTTAAAAACATTAAAGTATGTATACGATTCTATAGTCTAGTACTGCATGCTTCAAAAGGTCTATGTGTCGTAGGCATGTTACTTATTTTAAAACTAAGTTCATTGAATAAGCTCATAGCTTTATATTTCTTATCAGAAGATACTGCGTCAACAGAGTCACCAGTAGAGAGCTCTACTCTATCAGAAAGCACGACTGGCTCAGAAACTTCTACGATCTCCGAGGACAATACTACTATTGAAGCAGGCACTGAAGGTAATAATTATTACTTTTCTTATTCTAACCCAAATTGGACTTATCGATTTATTTATACTGGTTTGGACACAAAATAAGACCCATTTGTGACACCCTTTCTAAAGCGTTTGGGTGAATAGAATGCACCACGTGCAGCTATGACTGTATAAGAAACATAGTTTTTGTTACAGAGACAACAGGACTTTCAGGCCTTACGACAACAGAAGAACCTACGACGGGAGGAGTACTTACTACCAAAGGTTCGTAAATATTACTGTATTAATCGTTTTCAATAATTGACTCCATTGCCTTTGATAATCATACTATAAAAAAATCATCGTTAAACTTATAATAGATTCCAAAATGTATACCTATATTAAATTCGTTTAAAAACATTCACTTAAACATTTTCTCAAGCTTTTTTTCTTTCATATACTCACGTGATTAATAAATACACGGTTTAGTACGTTCAAAGTCTGGTTGGATGGTCTCTGAATGACCAATATATTCTTCATCTATTTATTTTGATTACAGCATCATGGCACGATGTTCTCCTAACAAAAACCACGTGCAAGCCTCGTAGGAAACGCAAATGTAATAAGACGAAGTTCGGTTGCTGTCCTGATAACAAGACCGCCGCTTTGGGTCCATTCGACGAAGGTATGTAATCATCAATGTTTCTGTGACTCCTGATTACAATGTACTTACTGGTCAGACTAGATCAAAAAACTCACAAATCAACGAAAACTTACGCGCTAAGCATAAACATGCAATGCTTGCAAGAATTACTTTTTATTCAACGTTATGTTTATTATACTATTGTTAAACAAATGTTTGTAATTTTCAGGCTGTAGCAAACCACGCACTTGCAAGGATTCCACCTACGGTTGCTGTCCTGATGGTGTGTCCCCGAAGCTTGGCGACACTGATGAAGGCTGCCCCGTGGAGGCGTGCGCAGACACACTGTTCGGCTGCTGCCTCTCTGATAACAAGACCGCAGCTCAAGGCAATGACCAGGAGGGATGCCCACCACCACCGCCAGCATGCGCAACGGCTGAGTACGTAAAAATATACTTCACCAATTGTTAAGGCTTCAACTTTCAACCACATACGTACACTTATACAATATTTCTCTAGTTCATTATATCTTATAATACCATTATCATTAGGTTTGGATGCTGTGCTGATAACGAGACTGAAGCCACCGGACCCGAAAAGGCAGGATGCCCTGAAACTTCAACCACTGCAGCTGGTGCAGAAACCACAACTGAAGCTCTTGAAACGAGTGAAGGAAGCACGACCGGAGCAGACACCACGGCGGCAGGTAGCACGGAGGTCGGTAGCACCACCCTGGACCTATGCAGTGGCTTCGAGTTCGGATGCTGCGCTGACAACCAGACTGAAGCCAAGGGACCCGACGGTCAGGGATGTCCATGCAACGCTACTGAGTTTGGTTGCTGTCCTGATGGTGTCTCTCCAGGTAAAAAGTTCTACTAAATGTTCGATTCAGTAATTTCTTAATTTTCAAATAAATATTAGTACTATTTCAACAAATCCCTGATTTATCCCTGAAATTTCAGCTAAAGGAGCAGACAGTGAAGGTTGCCCGGGTCCCTGCAGTACATCACCGCACGGTTGCTGCGAGGACAACAAGACCCCTGCTCACGGACCGAACTTCGAAGGATGTTGCTTATTGCACGCGTTTGGATGCTGCCCAGACAACCGCAAGCCTGCCGAAGGACCACATCTTGAAGGTAAAACCAAAAATCTGTCGTAAAAACTATGCAAACATTTCAAAAATACAATAGTTATGCATCCGCTGTTTCTGTTTGAACCCCAAAGTTTTACTAACATCGAATTTTAATTTGAATATAGTATATACCTATTTATTAACCAGTGTTTTATGTCCATTATTATTCTAATGATCTCTCTTGTTATCCTTAGGATGTGGATGTCAGTACTCGCTCCACGGATGCTGCCCTGACAACGTTACCATCGCTCAGGGAGCAGACAACCAGGGCTGCGGCTGTCAGTACACACAGCATGGCTGCTGTCCGGACAGGTGCAGATTGTGATCTGTATACATAGTGCCTTCCTTCTGAAATATTTTACGACTTACACCGATATGCTGACTGCCGTCAGGGCTTATCTGGAAGTCAATGTTGCTTTAATTTACTTGAATATGAAAACAATACATCTAAATTAATATTCTTACTTATTCAGACACACGGCTGCCTCTGGCCCCGACAACGAAGGCTGTGGCTGCAGCACGCACCAATTCGGTTGCTGTCCTGACGGCGTCACCATCGCCAAGGGACCTGAACAGCAGGGCTGCCACTGCCACTACTCCTTGTACGGCTGCTGTGGAGACGGCGTTACTCCAGCGACTGGTCCTGACGCTGCAGGCTGCGACTGCTCCTCCAGTAAACATGGTTGCTGCCCCGATGGAACTACTGAAGCGGCTGGTCCTAAGTTCTTTGGGTGTACTGATGTTCCTGAAAATAAACAAGGTAAAACAAAAGAAACAATAGATAATCATAATACATAGTCATGAGTTTTGTAGTCGCTTATATAATGTGAACTCTTCTCTGTACCAGCTGCCTGCAGCTTACCCACGGACCCAGGCTCATGTCACAACTTTACGGCGATGTGGTACTTCGATATGACATACGGAGGCTGTTCCCGTTTCTGGTACGGCGGCTGTGAGGGCAACGGTAATCGCTTCGCCACTAAAGAGGACTGTGAGGACGTGTGTGTACAACCTTCACCTAAAGGTAAACTTATCAATAAAATTAAATAATTAATAATAATAATCGTCCTTCTTCTTCTTCCTCTGATAACAAACATTTAATGCCATTGTGGCGACGCATGCCACATGTCAACGGATGACGTCACAAGAATCCTACATCGCACATGCAAAGTTTACAAGCGAATAAACACGGATAGAAAATCCCAACGAACAACTGTTGGGCAGAAAGCCCGCCAGGCACGATCACCTCGCCTGGTCGGAGGATCCTCCTTTTCCGATCTTAGGGAACTATACACTCTGTTCCCTAAACCATCAGTTTCGTCCCTTCTTCACTATTTGATTACATGAAATCGTGCATGATTGTTTTATTAATAGTAGCGGACAATTCATCGATTAATTTTTATATTAGACGTTATAGATATCTTTATCTTGATATCCTTAGACGCATGCAACCTTCCGAGCGTAAAGGGTGCCTGTGATGGTAGCTACGAGCACTGGCACTACAACAGCACGCGCGAGCAGTGTGTTCCGTTCCTGTACGGAGGATGTCTCGGCAACGCCAACAACTTCGAGACACGGGAGCTCTGCCAGAAGCAATGCGAACCTAAAGCAGTTGAAGGTTTGGAGTCACAAGCTACTAAATATTGTATTTAAGATTAAATCATGAGCTGTGCTAATGGACGCTGTTTGACGATAATTTCTCAACAATATTGCAGGGCAATGCGACCTGCCAATCGAGCAGGGCTCGTGTGCCGGCAACTTCAGCCGCTGGGGCTTCAACCCTGACACTCGCAGCTGCGAGCAGTTTATATGGGGAGGATGTGAGGGCAACTCCAACCGGTTCAATACTGAGGCCGCTTGTCAGATGCGCTGCAACCCACCAGGGTCACAACCACGTAAGTAATAAAAATTGATGGAAACAAAACTAATTGGGTTTAACATTTATGGGAATGTTCAATGTAGCATTCCCATTTTTAACTTCAAAATGGCTTGACTTGTAATCCAATTGTGTGCAGTAGTTAGTTGCAAAGTAGGGTTTGGGTAATTTTAACTAACTTGCATGGTTTGTGTACGCTGATTTGAAATGGTTCGGATAAACAATTAAACAGTTATTATTAGACTACATTGTTATTCTGAAGCTCACTTTGAATGAAACTCCAAAACCAGATACTTATACCTATTTATCAAAAATGTGTAATGTTTAATCTGATACGCACCTTGATATTATTCTTCTAACATTTTCCATATGTCACTAACAATGGGTTTGGAAACAGCTCAGTGCGCAGAGCCACAGGAAGCAGGCTCTTGTGGCAATAAGGAAGCTCTCTGGTCCTTCAGTGTGTCAGAAAACCGCTGCGTACCATTCTACTACAGCGGCTGTGGAGGCAACAACAACCGGTTCCCGTCCAGGGAGGCTTGTGAACAGACCTGTCCTGCCGCTTACGGTTAGTTCAATATTGCCCTAAAACAATGAAAAAGTAACAGATTTGGCCCTTCGAGATTTGCGGTTCTTGATTCTTCAGAGCGAGTGTAGGTATTGGTAAGTTTTTCAACAGGAAATTGTACATAAGAATTTACAGGCAGCAGATTTTTTTATAAGAAGAGATGACGAAATAAAAATCACAAATCGATGATCAAATGTAGGCACAATATGAAAGTGATTTTTTCACATTCTACTATGTCCTGCCTAATGCATAAGAGACGAGTTGAAAAAACGAATGATGGTGCAGCAATAAATATTTGTCTCGTGAAAAAACTTCATTATTTGTTGGTTTGCTAATAGTCCACAGGAGGCACAATATCAAAGATAAAAGGGAGTAATTATGTGTTATTTATATGCATAATATGTGTGTGCTTGTTGTTAACATCAAGTAGATAGATTGCATGCTTGCTTGTTTCTACTTACTCAATTTTGGTGTTGGTACATTGTGTATACGTCTATCTACCAAATAACATGTATGTGAATGTGATGGTACAATAATTGATTAGATCTGACATAGTTAATACTTGTGCAAGAATCAACAACTTATGCCCGAATACTGAAACGATACTAATTTTAAGTCGCTTAAGTAAATTCTATGAATTCTTTGTAAAATTGCAGAGATGCCACGGTATTTAAGTACGACTTAAAATTGAGAGCCTTTCAGTATTCGAGCGTTACCAACTTATTATTATGTGCCTGAGTAAATTCAGTACTAGCTTCTGCCCTCGACTCGTACGCGCAATCCCATTTTCTCCCGTTCCGATTTCTGTCGTAAGAACCTTATCCTGAAAATAACAAACACAACAAAAAAATTATCAGCCAAATCGGTCTAGCCTAGCCGAAATGACTTTCCTTTTTATATATGGATTTGAGCGTAACCAATTTATTACTATGTGCTAGAGTAAATAACCAAATTGTGTGGTCATGTGGTGTCGTTCTGCTAGACGTGATCCATTTTTAAGCGTTAGAGAAGGTAGATTGTGTCTAATTACTTGTGTTATATACTGCAGTGCCCGATAAATGCACGCTGCCCGCTGAAACCGGTCAGTGCTCCAACTACAGGGAACGGTGGTTCTTTGACACCACGTTCAAGAGGTAAGGAAACCTTGCAATCCTTCACGGAATTATAATTGTAACTATAGGCAAGTACGATTTGAAAATAACATGATATCCACGTCACAGATGTCGTCAGTTCTACTACGGAGGTTGTGGAGGTAACGAGAATAACTTTGCCACCGAGGCGGAGTGTGAAAACTCGTGCTCCGAGCTTAAGACAACTACTACGACCACCACCACTACCACCACGGCTAGACCTGCGGAACCTCAGCCGGCACCACGACCCGAAGAACCATCGAGACCTGGTGAGTCTGACAAACATACAATAACTAGCAGAATATCTTACTATACTTATTTGGAGAATATATATGGAGGCCGGAAATGCTGTAATATATTATTTGTTAACGAGTTTTATTCATAAATGATATTTATGATCCCAGATATTTGTTTCCTGGAGATCGACGCTGGTCCTTGCACCAACATGCAGACTCGATTCGCGTATGATAGCAAGCTGGGTCGCTGTATCACCTTCCAGTACGGAGGCTGTGCCGGCAACCAGAACAACTTCCCAGACTTGGAGTACTGCACCTTCTACTGCCACCCCATACAGGGTAATTTATTCAATAATTATTAATGCTTGTAAAATTGCTTAGATACTAGATTTGCAAAACTTTTTTTCGCAAAGTTAAAAATAAAAACTTTGGTACTTCCAGTATTTTTAAAAACGTTCCGAAGAAAATAAAAGATTGTGTCTGGTATAAGGCAACATATTCGTTGGTTGGCAACATATTGGTTGAACTATCGTAAGTCTCGATCTAACAAGAGATGTGTTAATACTATAATATTCTTATCTTTATCCCTATTTACCAGATATCTGTCAACTGCCGATGTTGTCTGGACCCTGTGACGACTCACAGATGCGCTGGTTCTACGACCCCAGCTCTGACTCCTGCAGTCAGTTCACGTACGGAGGCTGCGAAGGCAATGACAACAGGTATCATGTTGTGTCTAAATTAAACTAACACATATCTTCACACATCACATCAACAGTCTGTAAGTGCCCTTGACAAGCCTCTTCTCACACTGAGATCAAAGATTGTAAGACAAGGACAAGATGGTACTCCGCTAAAAGGCCGTGGAGAATTAATATCAATATTGAAAAATACTTGGTTTTAAGTTTCCAGATAAACTTAACCAATCATAAGCCCACCCATGCGAGCCAATAAAACTGTAAGGTTATCTTTGATGTATTTGTGTAGGTTCGAGACCCGCGAGGCTTGCGAGAGCAGATGCAAGACCGGACCGGTGCCGGCAGCCACCACACCGTCGACCACTGTCGCAGTAGTAAGTACTTTGTACATAGAAACATTGCATGACATCGATTACATCAATCAGCACAGCTTCAACATGACCTTAACTTCTTTAATAATCATTTGATTCGTATAAAACCGTCACTTTCGGTCTAGAAGGTCGATGGTTGAAATTTTCGTAAACTACATAACACACAAGCTGTGCCTATCTGTTGTATTGTGGCGTGGCAGACTGTTAGGAACATTGAATAAGCATATTAAAACGTCTTGAAAATCAAGGGTTCAAGATTCGGAGAGGACTTGGCATCAGAATGCAAGATAACGGAGTCGCTTGAGGTGTGCCAACACGGCGGCCTGGTGTGGTACTTCGAGCCAGATCAACGGGAGTGCGTATCACACTCTAACCGGGAGTCTGGCGCGGTCTGCAGACACACTGGCACCTTCACATCACAGGAGGCTTGCGAGAGGTCCTGCGGAGCTTTCAGAGGAGTTGGTATGTAGATAAAGAAGATTTAAGAGATGTTATGCTTATGTCATTTTAGAGAAAACTGTATAAAATCAAATTAATAATGGCCTACTTAAAGTTCGAAATGAAAAACTGTTTTATTCTCTTGTAGATGTGTGCAAACAAGCTTTGGACCCAGGTCCATGCCAGTCGTATGTAACGAAGGTGTACTTTGACTCGGCCACCAGTCAGTGCCGTGAGTTTAGCTACGGAGGATGTCTGGGAGGCGCTAACCGTTTCTCCACCATTGAAGAATGCAATCAAGTCTGCGAAACTGCAGTTGGTAAATACAAGATTCATTACTTCTGCAGTTTAAAAGCTTTAATGTCTTGTTACAACATAGTAAATATTTAAAAAGAAAATAAAATATGCGTTTAAAAAACTGACTCCAAAAAACTAATAAAAATACTAATTGAAAAATATAATAGACGCATTACTTGCCCCTACGAGTTTCGAAAGTTCCCCTCGGTTTCCCTAGGATTCTATCATCAGATCCTGACTTCATGGAAATGGGACCATCTCGGGAGTATTTCAAACAAAACAAGAATTTTGGAAATCTGTTCACAAATGGCGGAATAATCGGCGAATAAGTAAAAAAAAAACAATCAGTCGAACATAGTACCTACCTTTTTTTTGAAGTCGGTAATAATATTCCCGTAATACAACTTACCAAATGAATACTTTCCTGTACAGCTGATCCTTGCATACTTCCGCCTGAGCCGGGCACCTGTGGGGAGTACATTCAGCAGTGGTACTATGACCCAGCTCGCGACCAATGTAACCAGTTTGCGTTCACCGGCTGCGGCGGTAATACCAACAGGTAAGGACATTAAGGACTAAAGACCAAGGACTCAAAATGATTATTAGAATATGATTGTGCACTAAATATATAAAGAACATAAAAGCTAGATGCAAGTAAAAGGTAAATATTTGATTTATTGCTTGGTAATGTCAAGAGACTTACGGCTTTCTAGTAAAATAACAAAGATTGTATTTAAAAAATGTCAGATTGGGGTACCTTAGTGTGTTATATGTGCATTTTAAGGCACACAGGAAACTGTTTTAGAACCCCTTGTTCTGGAAGAGGACATTTGGCCACAGGGCACTCCCTGTGTCTGTGTTCTGTCGCTTCCGCGGACAAGTATCACACGCGCGCATGGTGACCTAGTGCATATTGAAGTGCTACTAACATAGGCTTAAGTTTATACTAACATCAATTAGGCTTAAGTTTATACGGAAAATAATAATGGTTCCGAAAAACAAATAAATCTCCAGCGATCTGTGGCTGACTATAAAATTGGATCTTCGATTAACAAAACTAAACTTCCGAATAGAATATTGGAACCTCCGACAAAATTACTAAGTTACCGACAACAGACGTATTAGGTTTGGTTAGAATTGTAGCAATAAACAGACATGTAAAGTAGTCGGAAAGTTAGTATTTTAGGCAGTAGATTTAATATTTTCAGTAAGGACAATTCTTCTTTTCTTGTCGGAGCTTTTATGACTACCCAGTTTATGCTAACATCAATTGTATATTGAAGTATTTATATTAGTCTGTAAGGTATGTTTCTATGGGCCATAGTTGCCTGAAAATAAAGTTTAAATAAAATAAATTAATAAAATAAATAATGACATACATTTTTCGTAGATTCGAGACCCGACGTGATTGTGAGTCTCGCTGCAAGCGACCTGAGCCAAGCACCACTACCACAGTGGCCCCACAACCACCAGTAAGTGATATGAACTTAGTTCGTATCTTAATGCATTCCATTTCAGAATTATTACTTCGGAACGTTTTCAAAATTTTCAATGTACTTACTAGACTTTAAAAAAGTAATAGTAATGTAAGACTCGGTGTCCTTACGATGTATATCAATAGGCACGCCCCTAATTATTTGTAAACTTGTAACTCATAAGCATAACATGACCAGCCAAAGTGGTTATTGAGTACATTTAGTAGGTAGGTAGATGAAGTAGTTATTGAGTATGTGGGCATACCTTTGACGTTCGGGGAACTTCCACAGCCGCCACCGCAAGCAGAACCAGAATGCAGGACCCCAACTTCACTGGAACCATGCGGCAACAACGTGACAGTGTTCTACTATGACGCGGAGAGGCAACGGTGCCTCGTCAGCGGCTTCGGAGGTTGTGAACATCCAAACTCCTACAGAACGGAGGAAGAGTGTGAGAGGACCTGCGGTGCCTTCCGCGGATTAGGTGAGAAAGATTGAATCTTTTTTTTTAAACTGTAATTTTGTCAGTCTAATTGTAGTAAAAATTAATTAGTATAAAAAAATTAGGATGGATGACCATATTTGATATGATAGCCAGCACGAAAAAATTGGAGTTGTGGTCGTAGCACGTTATATCAATTATATCTCCCATCAGCCACACATGACCGGGCGGTCTATACGCTGAATGAAGCGCTTAATGTCAAGTTTTATGTCAATAAGTCTGATCTATCCACGTTTTTGTACTAAGATGTGTGTGGCGCTTCCCTGGACCCGGGTCCGTGCCGCGCTTCCATCCCCAAGATCTATTGGGACGACTTAACTGGCTCCTGTCAACCATACGCGTACGGCGGCTGCAATGGTGGACCCAACCGATTCTCCAACGTCGAGGAGTGCGAGAGTGTATGTGGAGGCACCGGACCTGGTACGTACCTCATACCTACATTTTTCTTCGTCCTAGTGATGGAAATAACAGATTAACGCACTCTATTTCTGTCTATTAATTTCTTCATACCAACTATACTTGTCTAACTCGCAATCGGAGCATGAGTCTCATTTTAATGACGGCCACAAGCTTCTCGCCAGTAGAGGCCAGCTAACGTAGTATCTATCCGCTTGTTGCGGCGGGGCAGCGCCGGAGTGCCTGCAGGCGGTGGACACGGGCGAGAGCTGCGGGGTCGTGGAGGCGCGGCGCTGGCACTACAGCGTAGCGCACGTCGACTGCGTCGCGTTCGTGTACCTCGGCTGCGGCGGCAACAACAACAACTTCCGCTCCTACGAAGAGTGTGCAGACGTCTGCGGACTGTCGCGCACGACCGGCCGCGATGGTACTTAACACAACCTCACTTCGAATACGACAGATTTGTCGCAAACCTCCTGCTTCTACATACCAACAGAACAATACTTCTTATCAAGAAGCTGCCATAAGCTGCCTTTGAATACAAATCAGTGGGCGTACTTGCAAAGTACCTAAACATGTATATTTGTGAAGATAGTTTACGAGTCCAAGTCCCAAAGCTTGCTGTTCACCAATGTCGTCCATGTGCGGATCGCTCGCAGCTCCATGTTGTCTCTGTGAAGGCGCTGCTCGTTGTTTACTTGATGACGTCGAATGGTTATGCTTCGTTTGCACTGCTTACTAGCACGCTTGTCTGCTTGTCTTTATTGCACTTGACCTTTATTTTCTCCTTTGCACGATATTTATTTCAGGATTTGTATATCGTTGTTCTATTGAATTATAAAATGTTTCCAAAAATTGATACAATTGTGAGTGAAAATGTGTGCTTGTCGATGTGGTAGTGAAGGGGCTCTAATAATTATGTAAAGACTTCCTCGTTGGTTGAGTGGTCGCAATTACGACTGCTGCGGAAGGGATCCTGGGTTTAAATATTGTACATATTTCTAGAAAATTATTTCGTATATTTTTCCAATTGTAGTCTATTAATCATCAGTATGTATGCGTCAAATCGCCTTGTCCATGGACAATTGAAATATTATTAAAATACAAATTACAGAGGGCATGCTATGGAATGAACTGTCGAACAATGCATTTTCGTTATTTGTACGTTCATTGTGGAATCGAAAATTGTAACGAACTTAAATGTGAACAAATAGGTAAATGCTGTATGCAAACGATACAATTTTGTAAATGCACCTTCATGTGATGTTCTTGCCATGACGAAAATTCTTGCCATGACGACTTTTTGTTTATTGTGTTAGGTGTCTCCTGATTTAAGAAAGCCTTATTAAGTTGGAGAGTGTCTGAGACAAATGTTCGTATTCTAGATCAGAACCAAATACCAGTACCTGACTGCACGGCTGCCCAGCAACAGTGCGAGGCAATTGACTGCCAATACGGTGTCGCTGAATTCATGCAAGAAGGATGTAAGAGGTTCGTACAAACATATGTACAGACTACCTGCGCGTTGAGTATATCTGCCTTGTATTGTTCTCACACTTATGTTTTAGTAACATAGGGAGTTCTTACTCGTTCTTCTCCATTCGAATTCACATTTTTGGAAGATAGAGCAACTATAGCTAGTATTAGTACCTCTGTGAATAAAGCAATGCCCATAATATTACGGCGTTATGTACAGGTGTCAATGTAATGACGACCCATGCATCAGAGCAAACTGCTCGTCTCATGAGCGCTGCGTGGCCGTGGCCGTCAGGAACCCAGCCTACCAGGAGCCACAGTATTCTGCTACCTGTGTTGAAGGTAATATAAATACAAAACTAGTCGTTAAAATTTTACTGTACCACTCCATCATCATCTCATACATAACCTTGACTATACAGAGACTAACGAGATAGACGACTGCGAGGAGTACGTGGCGAACTGTTCGAGACTACGCTGCGAGTACAACGTCCAGCACACGCGCTTGCCGAACGGATGCACCATGTGTTCTTGTGTGCAGCTCGAGACCGACTGCACGCCACTGATTAACGAGTGCGAGACCATCGAATGTACATACGGTATTCAGAAGACTGTCGGATCCGATGGATGTCAGAGGTACGTCACAGAGGACAAAAAGTCAGTCTTATCAATTGTGATATATCTTGACTGTTGTATAGAGGATAGCTTGATCTCAATCTATCCTCGATACGACAGGCGAGAGAAAAAAATTCGACGATTCTCCCCTTTAAAAAAATACAACTACATATCAGTGCTTTAGTAGTACTTAACAAAACGTCCCACTTGATGGTAAGCAGTTACCATAGCTCAAGTAGAGACATGTACTACATCAAAAACATTAAGAGTCAGTTGCCGATTCTGTAAGAACCTGTGTAGTAGACCGCCATCATTTTGGAAAGCCTCCTTCTTCTGACACAGTACATAGGTACACTCAATTACTTTGACGTTTTCTTGTGGTTCTCTTCAGATTATAACAAGAAAAGTATCATATTGAAATGACATTGGTACCTACAGGTGTAGCTGCAAAGAGTATCCGTGTGAGAAGAAATCGTGCCCGCCCGGCGACCGCTGCGTGGTCATCCCATACAACGATGGCATCGATCTAGTCACGAAGTATACCGCAGATTGCAGGACTGGTACGTACAATATGTTATGACAAAAGACAACTATCGCCAAAATGGGCAATCCGCTTTCATATGTTTTTATTTATCATAGTTATTATTGATTTTCCTTCGAAAAAGTGATTCACATAAACAACTTTATTAACAGTGACGAAACCTGGATTCTGTCCGATGGATGAAACGACTACGAACGAGGTGATATGTCGCCACGAATGTAACGACGACGCTGACTGCCGAGGAGTAGGCAAGTGCTGCAGGCGCGGCTGCAGCGACCTGTGCCTGGTGCCGGTCGAGCAGACGTCCCCGCCTACAGTCATCAACACTACTTTGGCACCTGGTACGACCGTTAATCTAGCACTTCCGTAGTTATTTAATTCCAGAAACTGACCATTTCTAGATTTTTCTTAGTGTCAGCATTGTCTAAGTAACTGATTTACATAAGATGGTACACGGAATTTGCGAATGAACTTAATAAAAAGAATAAACTTAATCTAACATCTTTTGGAGACTATATTATTATTTCAGAATGGACAATTGGTACTTGTTTATCGCTAGATAATTTTTTAACCGATTTCAAATAAAAGGATGTTCTCAGTTCGACCTGCATGTATGTATGTATGTATGTATGTTTGTGCGCGAATGTCTCGTCATTAGATGAACCGATTTAGATGCGGTGTTCAGAAAAGTGTTTGTTACACTTAGGAGAAAGCTTTAGTAAGAGTTGAAGTCGGTTTCTTTAAACGTAGTTTGTAAAAGAATTATTTAGTTAATCGTCATCTTCGCAGACGTACCAGCGCCACCACAAGCGTTGCCGCAGCAAGAGCCCCAGGTGGCAGCTTCGGAAGGTGGTAAAGCTACCCTTCGCTGTCTGTTCCACGGCAACCCTCCGCCCAAGATCACGTGGAGACATGGAGAGCTCACTGTGCGTATTAAATATGAATTTTCGGTATTTGGCTTGTTTAAGCAGGACTAACTTGCAGCATAAAAAGAAGCAGAAATGTTTTATTAAATGCAGAGGCACACATTACAAATATTATATGTTAAGCACTGCAGATCTGAAATGTAAAGTACCCCAACAGATCGACGGCAACGCGGGTCGCTACAGGCTGATGTCGGACGGCGCGCTGGAGATCGTGTCTCTATACCGGAACGACACCGGGGTCTACATCTGTGTGGCCGACAATGGCCTCGGAGTGGCCACGCAGGAGATACACCTGGTCGTCAATGGTGAGTGGGGGAGAGATGCGATACTAGCTTGGGTGCAGGGCAGACAAACCAGCACGTACTGTGGAATTTGAAGACAAATATTAATGCGGAATCAATAAATTAATACTTACACCGCACGTGGTAAACATCATTTTACTTATTGTAAAACGCGTTAAAGAGTTTTTCTATGAGTGGTTAAGAGATTTCGTATCAAAAATGGTACACAAGTTGTAACTTCAAAACCTACAGTACGTACGTACTGTGCTGGTTGCTGTCTACAGTTAAGATATTGCATTTGCTAAAATTCATTGGGCAGTTTGGGTTTTAAAGTAGTTAGATGGATTGAAGTAGATCATGCATTCAAGTAGTTTAGTACTAAACTTTTGGTCTTTGTCTATAACACTATAATAACTTTTCTATTTCTTACTAAATGACAGTACAACAATTAGCGGCAGATTTGTACAATAGCAACCCGCCCCCGACTTCGCACGGGTGCAATATGCATGTATTATACCTTCATTTAGAATTACTCTATATATTAAAAAAACGCATCAAAATCCGTTGCGTAGTTTCGAAGATCTAAGCATACATAGGGACAGACAGACGGCGGATAGCGACTTTGTTTTATACTATGTAGTGAAGCGAAATGGCTGAGAGATACGGTTGCGATTTTCAGTTCTACTTTTTTGTTAACGAGCCCTTGTTCCTGTTTAGTATAGGTCCCTAATTCTTTGTAGAATAGTCAAATAAAAAAGTAATGATATCTTTAATATTATACAAGGTAAGGCCAAGTACCTAGCTATGTTATTTAGGGCCGATGTTTCAACCATCAGTTAATTTTGAACTGTAGAATAAAATTGACATTTGAAAGTTTTATATGCAAGAATTGTCAATGTTCAAAGTTATTCCTCAGCTAAGATTTATCTGGCGTTGGATAAATCGGCCCTTAGATAGTTGTGTATGGATATTGAACGAATAATTGACTGTAATTAAATGTTATGTTGTGTTCATATCGTACTTATTACGTCCGTTGACACACATTACTCGGTAATGTATCTATTGACGGGACCTATTCTAACTTATTCATATACTGATACATGCCGCATTAAACATAACTGGCTGCCTAGATAACAGAGCGAATTTTATTTTACTATTTCAAATATTTAGATTACTTACTACATGATATATATTTAATATAAGAAAAGAATACAGAATTATGAAAATCTATCCATCCGTTCTAAGTTATAAACCCTATCTTTTGCCCTATGCATTTAATTAAACACTAAATTAACTTGTCTATATGAATCCGATAATTAGAAGTAAGATAATGAAATTACTAAAACGTGATTTTGTTTTTCCTACGTTTAAAAGCACGTGAATTTAGTAAAGATACAATTTGTATCGTCATTAATCCATTTGTTCATAGGATTAGTTTATAGATCACGTTCTAAAGTAATCTAAAATTGACTTGTCTCAGCATACTTGACCCTTCGTTATCAGTCTGTCTGTTTGTGGACATCCTAGTAAACAAATTATATGATGACCTTAAATTCAGATAACATGATAATAGACTAATATTAACAGAGATGATAATAATACTGGAACTGGAATTGAAAAATCCAAGTCTTATGCATTAGTTTTCTGGTTATTTTTAAATAGCTCCCATGTCCATGGTGAACGGACCGTACGCACAAACATCATAATGTGAAATATCGGAAAACTGAATCCGAATTTAAAAAGAATACTTCAGTAAGTATTTCAAATGACGTAGCATATACTATATTTGTATGGCGAATCAAAAAATATTTAGTCATCAACGGTGTAGTAAATTCCACTCGTTAGAACGAAATTTATAAATAACATCGGGAAATAAAATAAAGCATGTCTACTTATTTCCGTTTGCAAGCGCATACGCAGGCTGCAATCTTTCGCAGTCAACAGACTTTTATCAAAACAGTAACGCAATCACTGGTTCAGTAGGAGTCGGTCAACTGTCCGTGTCGGTCGTCCAGTAACAGTTGGTTTCTCGCGTACCTCTCGGTCCTCTCACTCGCCCGCTATGTCCCGCGTCTGCCTACTCTCGCTCGCCGCTCTGCTAGCGTGCGCGCGCGCATATGAAGGTGAACGACACACTACACATCTGCCGCTGGTTGTTACATTCGATTTATACATTTTGAGTGTTCCTCTAGTTGTTTGAAAATGTCCCTCAGTAAATATGATATGTTATCCTTTAAAATATTTACTACAGAAGCACTCAAAATGTCTAACTCCATTTGTACTGTCCACCATTTCCACTGTTCAATAATTTATGCTTAGTAGACATTATTAACATAGAGTTTATGAATGTACCTTCGCACACTAAATACAAAGGATAAAACAGAGGATGCATTCACAAATTCTAACATTGGTTCGCTAACAATCGGGGGCTGGTAGATCCTGTGAAGGCGCCTGTTGGAATTGCTGGAGATGAGAATGCCGTTGTGACCGGAGAGCTGGGCAGCCCGCTCTCAGTGCGGTGCCTGGCGTACGGATACCCGCCGCCCACCGTATTCTGGTACAGAGGCTATGATGGAACGATGGTACCATATAATGACGCCGTGTTTGAAGCGAGAGGCAATGTGCTCCTCATCAGAAGTCTGGCTATCGAAACTCTTGGACAATACACGTGCCAAGCGTACAACGGAGAAGGCAAGGCGGCATCATGGGTGGTCAATGTACGCGCATACAGACCTGACGGACTGTTCATTGAGAATGAGTTGTTAGTGCCGCGCGTGACAATGGTGCCCAGGCCCAAGACACAAGCACCTACCACCGCGGAGTTAACTACTACCACGTCCACTACTGAAGCACGCATACCTGTCTACACCGGTAAGATTGGGAATTATCTACCGTAGAATACTTCCGTAGCAGATTTTTGCTCTTACCTTAATCTAATTCTGTCCATTAAACAAAGAAATTAGAGCTACTTAGGTACATATAACAACATTTTTTACAGAGAAATTTCTAGTAAACAATGGTTTAAGTTTATAAACAAATCGCAGTTTAGTTAAAATAAACAGAGATTCGTAAGAGCAACAATCTACTATCTCCACTAATATACAGCATGGCTTGTCTGCATGAAGCATGTTTATGTATCCAGCTTGTGTTCTTCGCAATAGAGGTAGCACGTGTTTTGATGATGTTTATAGTTAGTTGGAGCATTGATGGCGGATTTAGAAAGCTGGTATGTATAAGTAAATAGTCGGTGATCTGATGATACATTGTACTACATTGTGTTCGTTAGGATGTGATAAAAATAAAGTTTCTCCGAATTTTCGAATGACAAACGCCTTATCTCATTCAACATTGTCGTGTCGTGTGTATTGTGTATAATAATTATTTATTTATAGTGTTATTTCTATGTATATATTGTACCTGTTATGTATTGTATTTATGTGTTACAGTGACTCCACACAAGTGTAGATTTTTTTAAATTTTAATAGAACTCGAATCTATGTTCGATAAGTTGTACTATGGTACAGCATCGCTACTGAGAGTGAAGTACCGACCTAACTATGGGACTAAAAATAAAACTGTTGAAATATATAGAACATCTTTGCCCGCCACTATCAGGAAATAAGGGCGAAGATAGAGTTGTTTATTAACATATTGATTTGGATATTGCGTATAGGAGAGATCGAGTCATTTTTGGGAACCTACATGATATATTATGTGAATTAATTTATTTTAATCCTGAAACAAATGTATGATTTACATTGGACACTTAAGTGTGACAGCTGTATATAATGCTTTCTATTTAATAATTGTTTTAAAAGGTTGTTTAATCATAAAACCATTCTGATCTGAAGTCACCTACTTATTGAAGTAGGTACGAAAATAAACACATAGGTAATAATACCAAGTTGTGATTCCATCAAAAAGATTCTCCAATAAAAGGTGGTATAATTGTATTGTAATTAATGTTATATGTAATTATATGATATTTCATATTTGAATAAACTATAAAAAGGCATGTTTCATTGTACCTACATTCCAAGTATTTATATATGGATATCACCGACCAACAGGTAAATATTTTACTACGACATAGTACCACTATAATAAATGCACTTTTAAAACAGGATAATGTTTCGCGATGAAGTTGCATTGGCGCGTACGCAGCTCATCTTCAAAGGCCTCGAGTGAGCTCGAAACTAATCGGGCTTCCACATAGTAATACCAACAATGACGTGACAATTATATGAATGCAATTATTTATAAAGCCAAATATATCATAATTAATGATTGTAACATAATTAGTATGCATATCTTATTCGGAGTTGTTATATTTATACATACCTACTTACCAAAAAGGATTTAGTGAAACTTTATTGTAATGTATAATTACGTGTATAGTGCCGGTGAGCGCGCACGTGTCGTCTACGTACTCCACGCTGAACGTCGGTGCAAACCTGGAGCTCACATGCGAAGTGGATGGGTTCCCGGCTCCAGATGTTTATTGGACGAAGGACAGCGTGCGTCTTCAGCACAGCGATAGGATTCTTATTACTGGTAAGTTCTGACTATTTTACCACACAAATCATTAAGTTAGTTTTTATTTATGTGCTCAATGTTCCTAAGAAGCTAATGTTGAGATATAATATACTCCGTGAAATCTATTTCGTTTTCATCCCGCGGCAGAACAACTTCCCATAATGAGTACTTTCGTATGCACTTTCGAAGTCTACTTTTCGCAATGGTTCACCAGTAATTTTTTTTTTTTTTTTTTGTAAAGTTGTTGTATTACCAAGACAACGCATTTCATTTCAGGACGAAAACGAAATAGATTTCACGGTGTATTTTTTTTCTAAGACGATAAAGCCGCATTGACCCTGACAACTTATCTAACTGAATAGTTAAAAGGCTTCGTTTTTGTTTTCAAATAATGCTCCTGTAAGCCTATATGCAAAATTGCACATACATATGTATATCACAGTTTTCGAGTACATAACTATTCAATAATTATGTTTTACGTAAATATAAATGTTTCCTTATAATTTATAAATAATTAACACCTAATTCTAACCTGAATTTTACCCCAGTGGTTTTCCTGTCGCTATTCGAATTTTGATAAACGAAGGTGTTACCTAATACATTGTAACTTTATGTTAAAGTTCTATGTACTTATAAAAGCTTCTATTTTTCAAATTATGAACTATATCTACTATTGAACCGGACATCAAACAATCAGAGAATAGGCATCAATAATTAAAATATTCATATAACTTAATATCTACTACAGTGGCTTCATTTTTAGAATACGAGTGTATCTAATATCGAGAACAAATGCATTCTATATCATGAAATACTTCCAGAAATGTCTATGCCACGTTTCATCTGAATCTGTCAAGCCGTTCGTATGTAATGGAAGAATATCTTCACCACTAACTACTAATGTGCAATATTTCTTTTGACTGCACGGTTGGTGCGGTGGCTGGGCAACCGGCTGCCGTGCAACGTGTCGCGGGTTCGATTCCCGCCCGGGACAACACTTTGTGTGATCCACAAATTGTTGTTTCGGGTCTGGGTGTCTTTGTGTATGTGAACTTGTATGTTTGTAATCGCACCCACGACACAGGAGAAAATCCTAGTGTGGGGCAACGTTTTTTAAAAAAAACTAAACTAAAACTAATATCTCGCCTGCAGGTAGCGAGGTGGTATCCCGGCTGACGGTGCAGCGAGTGACAGTCTCTGACAGCGGGCTGTACGCGTGCCACGCCAGCAACCTCTACACCTCGGAAACTGACACTGCGCAGGTCAACGTGCAGCGTAAGTATATCACACTTGGGTACACATTTAACAGCGGAGAACTTAGCCATGTCAGAAAGGTCCAATTCTCAGGATTTGTGGGCATAATCAGCGTATCAATAATATCAATTATATGACCTACATGAGGTACAGCAGATGTTGCTATAATAAATACTTGAACTTTTTTTAAGGGGGGTATCGAATGACTTCTCCCGCCTGGGTGAGGCAAGAGGGAGTACCTTCCTCCTTCTCCTGCCCTTCGAGCTGGAGCTCCGGCAACCCGTTAAGTCCTCCGCGGCATAAATACTTAGCTTATGGCTAACCTACACCATTTTATCCACAGAGCTACTGGTACCAGCTAAATGCACGGACAATCCATTCTTCGCCAACTGCGACCTGATCGTGCGCAGCAAGTTCTGCAGACACAAGTATTATTCCAAGTAAGTATCATAGCGTTGAGAGATATTTACTTCTGAGCACCATCATTCTAGACTCTGTAATATAACTAAGAATTTTCTAAAAGCTGAAAGATTCTAGTACTAGTCCCTATCCGGAAATCAAACCGAAGTGCTTGCAACCACTCACTTAGAAACGGTTATCGATACAGTATATCTTAAATGAGGTTAATCGATCAATTAGGTCAATAGATTTAAGTAGGTACGTAGTTTAATTCTGAGTGTAGTAATTGTACATTGTATCATTTTAAAATAGCTGCTATTGTAGTCTGTAGTACGTATTGTTTGCCTTCACCTATTATTATGTAAAACAATGTATTTTTCATATAGTTTAATTTCATAAATGGCTGTAGCACAAACAGAATTATTTTTGTCGACTTCAAAGTTACCTTTACGAAGTTATTAATGTCCCAAAATATTATGTTCACTTTACAAAACCATAAATAGGATTTATAGGATTAATACACACACTAGAAGCACACATTTAACCACATTTCTTAATTCCCAGGTTCTGCTGTAAGTCGTGCGTGGAGGCAGGTCAGCTCGACCCCCAGGATGCAGAATTTCAAGCAGACCAGCCCTTGAAAAAGAAGAAGTAAACGGCTGCAGCACCTTGCATAGTATAAGTGTAGCCAGACGCGACCGACAGCGATGTTAGGGTATAAATAATACTCCAACACTACTTAATTATGTAAAGTTAAGTTTGAAATGTTAATGAAAGATTTGAACAGCAAGCATGCTGCCGTCTATGTAAACGTCATATATAACTATTGCCTTAACAGTTACTTATTGCTAACTGCAAAGGTAATTAGTTGTACATCTTTATCTCGTCACCCGGTCTCCTGTCGGTCGCTAGTCCTGGGTAAATTCGTTAATGTTTCATGTGCCATAATGTAATAGAATGTTACTCGCGTGCAGCGCCACACGGCGCTCCACAGGGCGCATTTACGAAACACGCAATCATACCAATAGATTTAATGTAGATAGATATTACTTGAAACAAAACTTTTTTATGTAAATAAATATTTTTATATGTCACAAACTCCATCTGTGATGGAATATTTTGAGTAATTTTACAATTTCTACAGTTAGTTAGTCAGAAAGAATATGATAGTAAATAAATTATTTATGTAATAAGTTGTCTAATAAAGTGAATGTTTAGCTCGTAGGGTGGCTAGTTGACAGTCATAATAATTTGTTTAAGTGGAATCCTTTTCTATAATTGTGACGATGTAAATAGATGGACAATAAAAAACGTATTAGCAAAATGTTCTGTTTAATTATATTACCGCTCGTCAGAATTAAATACAAAGCTGAATATATGATATAAGTATAGACAGAGTGAGGGCGAGGCTCGTTGGATCCCAGCAATATATAGAACAAGTCAAGCTTAGTCTCGAACACAACATAATCTAAATAAATTACAATTTGTCATAAATATACCCGGGCAGACGTAAAATCAACAAAAGAAAAACGTTGCGATAACATAAATTTTTATTTACATTCCGAAATTCACAATCAAATGTAACAATAAAGTTCCTACGTCCAACTTACCAGTCAATGAAAGTACAGTGAGAAACACACAAGTCTACTGGTGATTTATCTATATACACACATACATTCACAAAACTTCGTCACCCCACCGACCCCGAGTGACAATGCTCGAAGAGGTGGCTAGGCCTGTACATAATTTACTACCAAACGAGTTATACAATTTATCCTTCGTATAGTTCAGCCGCCTCCGACTACTCTTATAGAGCATACAGCGATACATATCATTATATATTCTTAGAATACAAAAATTAAAACAATAAGTTATATACATCAAATTATAATTTCATGTACACGTGTCGTGACGCCAGTACGTCGCGATGTCTTCGGCCCGTACGTCTACTCCTGCTTAAATATCTTACCGGGCGCCGAGCGGGCCCATTTTAGTATCACAATGTGTGTTAAACTAAACGGAGGTCCCACTAAATCCTAAACGCCTACTAAAAAAACTATAAAAACCGAAATCTTCTACTACAAAATAAAAAGAAAATTGTTTACGAACAATAAACTCGCTAGAAACGTATGGCGAGCGCACGCAGGGTGACCGGCAGCAGTGGCAGCTTTCTACTTGTACTTTCATTGCGCTCAGGCGCCGAGGCCGGCTCAGTCCAGGACCTGCGACACGATCTTCTCCATGTCGTGGTCGATCTCGTCGTTTGTAGGCGGCGCCGGCGTCTGCGGCGCGGGCTCGGGCGCGGCCGGCAGTTGGAACGGCTCGTCCAACTCCTCCAGCCCCGCCGGCACCGGCAGCTTCGCCAGCTCCTCCTGCAGCTTCACGTAGTGTCTCTGCGCACACACACATTCATTACTCACTGCGCCCACACTATGACAAGTCCCCCAGTTATGGCGACAGACTGCTTACCTTAAGCGCCATGAGGTTAAGCTGTATGCTCCGCTGAGTGCGCTCGTCCCCGCTCTGGCTCTCGAGTTCTGTGATCCAGTTGGCCACCGTCTGCATTATTTCATTACGTTTGATCCAGAAGTGGGTCTGGATCACCTGTGAACATTCATAATTTAGTCAATCTCTTGGACATTTCCCTCTCTAAGTAAACTGAAATGAATAAAAATAGTACGGCAATAGTACCTCCTTGAAGCAGGGCTCTGGATTCCTGAGATGGTCGAGCATGGCCCAGCGCACGCAGGCCTGGTAGATGTTGGAGTTGTACTCCAGTGAGGCGCTGGAGCCCACGCGCGTGCCGCGGCTACGCTCGTAGCCCGGCTCGTTGAAGTAAGGCTCCGGGACTAAGATCAAGGACTGAATCGACACCAGTACCTACGGATACACGTACAGTAAACGTTGAGTGTTAACATTCCAAAAGAGAACTGTTAAATTCTTACGCAAATGTTTCTTTACTGTCTGGAATAAGGATTTGGTGTAACGTCAGTGAAGCCAAGAGGTATAAGTGTTTATTAGATTTAGTAGTACCTGTAGAAAGCTGGAGGTGTGTGCGTTCCACTTCTCCTCGGGACGTCCGTGCCAGGTGTTGAGCACGGAGAGGCAGACCTTGCCGTCGTTGTACAGGTTGGGGTTGAAGCGCACGGAGTGGCGGCCCGTCGTCTCCAGGTTGATGAGCATCGGCACCGCCGGGTACTCCGCAGGGAAGTATACGTCCAGCACGAAGCAACCGTTCGCGTACGGCGTGTCGGACGGACCCGTTATTAGGACCTGCACAATAAATATACTAATTTAATACCGTCGTTTCCTTCATACACTGTCTCTGTTGACAAACAGATGGTTCAAACAAGGTTCCCGGACCTTCATGACATCGAGGCGGTCTGCGTCGGTGCGCACGAAGACGGAGGAGGAGTATGAGAGCGGCAGCGAGGTGGCGAGCGTGGCGGCCTCCTGCGCCAGGCGCTTCATGCGCGCCGGGTGCGCGCGCTCGCCCGCCGCGCGCACTGCGCCCTCGAAGTGGTACGGCACCAGGAACCGGAACCCGCTCTCTGCGCACTCCGCTATCATCTCGAACGTCTCTGTTACGCGGAAACACATCATTATGTCTCAGTCGATAGTACATAGTATTCCAATTATTTATTCATTTTTGGGGGACTGACCGAATTGCATGGTGCGCATGAGTTCGATATAGCGCGCCTCCCGCGTGGCTCCACTGAGCGGTGCGGGCGCGCCGCTCGCCCGACCAGACTCCGCCTCATTCTCCGACCGACATAATAATGCCGATGTTGCCTGCAACAAGAATCAAGACACTCAGACCCTCTCGTGAATTTCTGTGCCATTTTGAAGATCACCACAAACCCAATATGACACACTGGCGAAAAAAAAGATAAGGTACAAAATATTATGCTTACTTGTATATCTGCAATGAGCGCGGCGAGTCCCTCGTCCTCTTCTGATAATTCTGAATTACTTGAAGTACTAAATCTTTGGCTATATGTCATTTTACCGAATATATTTTTCTTACTCATTCTGAAATACAAAAAGACAATGAGATAAGTATTCTATTGACTGGCAAGTTTATGAGAAAAGCATAATTTATTTTGAGTATACTTGACAACAGTCATTGTATGTAATATGATTATAATAAAGCTGAGAACATCTAAAATTCTGTGTAATTAAATAGAGTCGGAAGAAGTAATAAGGAAAGCATAAAATATATTCTGTGTATAGTTGGAACAGGGTTGATCACCAAGATGGTTTGTTTGGGCGGTTCAAGGCTGGATGAGATTTATTTGAACAATTTTTTGTGGGTCACAGAAAACACGGCAACTTCGCCGATTTCTTCATTTCAAAGGCCGATGTCCAATAATTTTTTTTTTATTTGATGGGCCAACGTTTAGCCCCTATTTCGCCTGGTGGTAAGCGATTATGCGGCCTACGATGCCAGGATATCAGAGGGTAGTATATCGTCTCGTACCTTAGTTTGGTGGCGTAGGAGTTGGTGGTGCGCGACATGCAGGCGAGCAGACGCGGCAGCGGGCGCAGCGCGGGCGCCAGGCGGCGCGCGCCCAGCGCACTCAGCGCGCGCGCGCACCGCAGCACGTGCACGTACAGCGGGATGTGGCGGGACATGTCCAGCACTGCGCACACATTACTCTACACTATACCGTCCACAGCGGCGAGGGTCACTCCACACTGACACGCGATGTTAGTTAGGCAGAGAAGTTACGCTGTCTCGCGAAACCCATCCCAACGTGGATTACTCAAGATACATCGTTACGTAGCGTATTCAAGATTCACCGCTACGGTGCTTGACCTTACTCGACGCCGCGCGGCGTCTAAATTGGTATGTATATATTTACGTACAGAAAATAAATTTGCTTTTAAGTCTCTTTTTTCAAAAGTGCGCATACCGTCGCGTCGCGTCTCGGAACGAACTGCCTCTAAAACATTATAAATGTAAATAATAATAAACAATTCCCCAAACTGACCTGAATCATTTCTAAGATAGGAGCAGATGGCAGGTACGAGCGAGCTGTTGGCGATGAGGTCGATGAACTCTGCGGGTAGATCGTGTGAGTCGTCCGAGTCCTCCCTGTCCGTCGTCTCCGCCGCGCCCTCCTCCGGGGGCCACTTCTCACCCGGATTCATATATGATGCTAATACCTGTGAGCAAAAAAAGACACTCTCAAGACACTATTTTTGGTTTTTGTACGACAGCTCGTTCTGGAAAACGAAACACGAATGTGAATACTTTAATTATATAAGTATAGTACCTGCAGTAAGACAGTAACATGTTCCTCCTCAGTCCTTTGCCGCACGAGTGCTTGCTCTACATTCCACGACTGTTGCGTGGACCCGGTGCCGAAGCCCGTGCCCTTCGCCCAGTATAGTTGGCTCTTCTCTTCGGATTTGCCTGTCGATCCATTCGAACCTTGGCTGTTCTGTAAATTGGAAAAGAATTTGGTAATGATTTACGAAAGATTGCCTCTTTACTTGTCGTTTTTTTAGAAAACGATTCTATTAAGTGTAGTCACTGCATTAAGCAAACGTTCAAAACATTTCATTTATAACAATAACTCAGAAACCTGGATTGATCTACTGAATTTCGATATCGGATATATTATAGTGTTTTAAAATGGAGTGTTTGAATGACATTACTGGTTCGTTCTACTGAGGAATTTGACTATAATAAGGCGGCGTATTATGAATAGTTGGATAAAATGTTGTGTATTATAAGCAGTAATAAGTGTGACTCACGTCATTGGAGTTAGGTCGGTGATGCGTGAAGACAGCGAGGCAGGCGAGCAGTAGCCGCACGGCGCCGCGCTGTAGGAGCGCCCGGCGCAGCGCGCGGCCCGCGTCCGACTGAAGCGGCGCGCGCTCCAGTAGCCGCGCCACCACCGTGAACGGCAGCGTGCCCAGCGACCCCGCCCCGCCCACCCCGCCTCCGCTGCGGCCCTCGCCCACCGCGATACTCCCTGCGACAATATGACCATGTCACATATACATTCCCACACAATATACCTAACGTCAAGTAAAATCAACGCTCACTATCAAACTACGTATTAAGTTTTTTATTGTGATATTCCATCCTCTTTATTTTAAAAAGAGTAATTTATAGCTATTGATGACTTACGTCCGTCCTCGTCGTGCGTGACGCCGAGCAACAAACGCAGTAGATGACAGGCTCGGGCGCCCTCGTCGAGCAGCGCGTCCGCATAGCCGGGCAGCTTCAGCAGCAGCCCCAGCGCCAGCAGCGCGTGCGCAGGTACGCCCGTGCAGCCCCCCTCCTCGGCCCCGCCCCCGACCCCGCCCCCGCCTGCTGCTACGCCCAGCTCCACTACCTCCTGCGCATACACACAAAGCTATACTACCTTCTACTTTCCCAAGTTTCCTTCTACTACAGATTCATACTCTTCGACGATGTGGAATTTAATCTACATCTCGACGTAGCAAATTATTGTAGGTTACTTTGCGACACTGATATTCATAGCTGATGTCACAATAAAACTTTATAACTTTTAGGGTAGACGACAAATTTTTATTTTAATGTCCGTCTGGTAGATTATTTAAAAACATTAGACACGTATTTTTTATTTTCTTACGGAAACGAATAGTTTCGAAGATATATTGATTTGAAATGTCGCGTGACGTCACTTCTCAGTACATTTCATACTGAGAAATGACGTTTTAGCCCCCACTCCTAAACTTTGATTCGTTTTATCTAAGTATTGTTTTATTATACGACAAAATAAAAAAATACGTGTCCTATATTTTTTAATTACCTAACTTACGGACTAATTAGATTTTTAATTTTCATACCCTGTCATCATCCCCATTTATGAGATAAGTCATACATTTTACATTCAAAAACCGTAAGTAGGCAAACCATTACATAGCAAATATTCGCACGTTTTGCGTGTAAATGGGGTAGTTACCTCGTAAGGGTCATCAAGTTTGACCCAGTCGAGGTCGTGGTGGTGATGGACGAGCGCGGGTGGGTCGGGCGGAGGGGCGTGGGGCCGGGGCAGGCGCGCGGCCACCAGCGCCAAGCCCCCGACGGCCCCGAACCACCGCAGGATGGCCGAGCCGCCCGTGGACGCCGCCGAGCTACTCGTAGTCCCTGCACTACTCGAGCTCGGGCCGGCGCCCGGACTTGAAGGACTAGTTGACGACGCGCCTTCCCACATCGGACCAGACCATGCTTCTGTAATAACATGACTTCGTTACAATGTTGAAAAACGTAATCCTCATAATGTAAAGAGTACTTCACACACTTAAAAAGTCCATGCAGTTTATTGGAGCATACAACAGTATAAAGAAACATGAAGAGGGGTACAAGGATTGGACAGTATATTGGTAGATATGAGTACAGAGGTACATACCGCCGTTGGTGTTGAGATGCAGTGTGAGTGAGAGATGTGGCCCGATGGTATGCGGGACGGCGGCGGCGAGCTGCGCCAGCGTCGTGCTCGGCGGGATGAAGCCCTCCAGCCCCGGCACTTGCACGCGGATCGACGACTCTATCAAATCTAATCACATATTTTATCATGTACTAACAGGACAAATGTTACTATTATTATTTTATTTCAAATCATTATTTGACAATGTTACGCGTCTATGGAGGTGTCCGCTGTGCAAATACTCGAGTGTACTCACCATCGGTGACGGACAGTACGGACGCGTCGTTGCTGGTCTTAGTCTGTCGCTTCTTGTTATTCTGTTGTTTGAGGGAGGTGTTCTTGACGTCCTTGACGCGCTTGTCCTTGGAGGCGCTGGCGGCGGCCAGGCTGAGCTCCCAGGCCTCCGCCACCGTGGTGATGGCGGTGTCGGACGCGCTGCGCAGCACCGACGTGCCGGCCGACGTGGGCGACGAGTTCATGCATACTTTCGTCGTGTCCTCCATTATGGGTACTGAGGAGCGGATACATACCGTGAGCAGCGAGCTTAGTACGGCGATGGAGCGAAATACTGGATGACAATGTAGGTGTGTAGGGGACCAACGAGTACTGACCGGGCGGGCGGTGGTCTGCGAGCACGTCGCGCACGCTGCGCGCCAGCGGCAGCGGCAGCACGGCGTGCGCGTGCGCCGCGGGGTGCGCGGCCGCGGCGCCGGCCCCGCCCTCCGCCCAGCGCAGCGACACCCACACGCGCTCCGGGGACAGCACCAGCCGCAGGATCAGCGCGCGCGTGAACCCGCTGATACCCTCTGCATCGGAAACCATACGATACGTCACATCATTCAATATTGGAGAAAGCTTAGGATACAATATTACGAATATTATTCGTTGAATATTATCCGCATGAAGCGGATAAGTTAATAAATGGATAAAAAATTGAGCCATCGTAAAACACTATCGATGGAATCGCCTGGGCAGCGATTTGTATCAACATCAGCACGAACGGCCAGTCGCCTGAAGCGATTACCAGTGGCTAAATCACAGTTAATATTTAATTAGGAAAACGGCCAATCGTGCAGCTAACCAAATTTCCGCGATCAGTGTATATTGGGCTTAAAAACATGTATGTGCCATATTTACCGCTTTTACACCGTATAAGTACAGTTGACTACTCACCGTTACTAGGCAGTGCCTCGAGTATGCTATGCAGCGTGGAAGCAAACAGTTGCTGGTTGGCGGGGTGGCAGACTGTCAGCTCCGCGAACAGACGGATGGTGCTCTCCTCCAGCTGAGCGTACTGAGCGTCTTCTTGCCAACTACTGCTGAAGAAAGTGTATTATAAAGTAATGCTCTATTAGCTTATGTCTATATTTAAGAACAAGCGGGACCTACTTGGCTCAGGAAATGTTCAATAGAAAACTACACTCATAAACTTAAATGGTCAACCATTACACCATTATAAATCATATTTCTGATGATTAGAGACTACTTTTGTATGAACAAATGTTGTGGATTTTTTGTAATCGGACATTAAGAAGTTAACTGTACTGTAATGAATAGATCAAGATAAAGTTTATAATATCCGATGCAATTATAACCGTTGTTATTGGTAAGAGTATAATCATTTTAACCCATTTCAAAAAAGGAGGTTTTCAGTTTAATCTGTATGTCTGTATATATTTATGATTGGGTGCGATATCTCGCGATTGGCTGAACCGATTTTGATACGGTTTTTGGAAAAGTGTTTGTGTGGCTTAAGAGAAGGTTTTAGTTTATTAATTAACCGACTTCATAAAAAGAGGTAGTTGTAGTTTTTTTAATGTAGTTTATAAAAGAATTGTTTCTTTCATTGATACTTTGTTCTAATACCATATACAAAACCTAATTTGTTCGGAAGTTTTACATTTTTATTTACAGAGATAAAGCAAGTACCTGTAATGAGGTCTAGGATAACACAGTAAGGTGAGCAGTGGCTTCCAGAATATGCTGCCAGGGCCTCCGAGCCAGTCCTTCAGTCGCTTGGACCAGCAGACAGCTCGCGCCCACTCCACCAACTGATGCACCGTCTTCATCGAGGGTAGCTCTGACTTCGGCTGTCCTGGTTCCTTTTCAGGGTCCACCATTTGTACATCTTCTGTTGAATTCCTCTGCGCCTTTATTGATTCCAATTTCGCTTCGCTGAAGTCTGTAAATGAATTTAATAAATTGTTAGTACAGATCGATTATCATAAATCACTGATGATGTGATCTATATTTTCTTTATTTCATTAAGTACTCGAGTTGTTTATTACGGTTCTGAAAAAGTCGTTTGCGGCCGAAAATCAAACGAAACTTTGTATTTGGAAATTGTAGTGGACTGACTTCTGAATAGGACCTATTCTAAAATTTCATTGGAAATATTGTGTATTCTTTGTTGTATTGGAGTTGATGACCATACCGGCGATGGCGGTGACGAGCGCGGCGGGCAGGCTGGAGCGCAGCAGCGCGGCGCTGGCGGCGGGCGACATGGCGGCGGCCGCCACGCTGTGCAGCTGGCCGGCGCGCGCCGCCAGCGCGGGCCGCGCGCCGCCGCCACAGCCGCCCCCGCGCGGCCACTGCACCTTCGTGTCGTCCGTCAGGCCCTCCATGCTGCGGGCGACACACGTTGGATTATCACATCTTTACTGCTCAACGTACACCTCATTCATTTTTTTATGGAATAAAAGGCAAACAGGCAGACGGTTATCCGTCTGATGGTAAGCGATCAACTCCTCCCATGGACACCCGCAACACCAGAGGAGTCACAAGTGCATTGCCGGCCTTTTATAAAGGAACACACTCTTTTCTTGAAGATTTGAAAGTTGTATCAATTCTGAAATACCGACTAATAATGACCTCTGTCGTCATTGGTATCCGTACTAAGCCCTCTGGCTTACGTAAAATACGTTTAGTATGTTACGTATTCTATATTTCGCTGTCGTTGTATACATATTCAAGATACAAAAACACTGCTACAATTAAATATTTACTTTGGAAGCGAGCTAAATGGCATCAGTTCTAACACAACTCATAGATTCTATGACGAAGAATATATTTTAAAAAATTAAGTATTTGCTCGGAAATCATAACCTTCGACCAATGACGTACACGAATTAAACTCACATAAAATACATTATATCAATTAAATATAAAAAGTAGAATTCTTATACATATCATTACATACCTTTCGTCTTGATCCATAGGGATGTCCATGTGTTCTAGGAGCATCTTGAATAGCTCCGGTCGAATGTAGCACATTGAACATAATACTGAAAATACAAACAAGTTCTTTACAGGACTAACAAATAAGCTTTTTATAAATCAATGTTTCAAACATATGCCATGTTAACTAAGAGTTCCTTGGCAAATAATTATGTGAGTAAGCCGAAAAACATTATAATATGTAATTAATTAATTAATTTGGCATGTCTCACGAAAGTTATAACAAAAAACTTAAGTTGATGTATTTATGTTAAATAAATCAACTTAAGTTTTATATTGTAGGTAAAAGTGTAATACTGACTAGCATCTAATGATTTCTTGAGTAGACTAGTTTCGGGCACATCCTTGACCCAAGTGTACACTAGCTCGAAAAAGTCGTCCGTGATCAGGTCCTCCAAGTATTCTAGAATGTTCTTCTCTTTTAATGTCCATAATACCTGGGGGAAAAATTGATACAAGTGAATTTATGTATTAATAATACATTTTTAACCGATTTCAAAAAAACAAAAGTTTTAGCTGTATATGTTTGTGCGCGATTATCTCGATTGCCTTAACCGATATTGGTGTAGTTTTCAGAAATGTGATTGTTAAAATTAGGAGATATATTAATTTACCGATTTCAAAGAAAGAGGTTTGAAATGGGTTGTTCTAAACGTAGTTCATGAAAGAATTATTTTTTTAAGGAATTCTTGAGTAGTTAGAACAGTTTCTAACATACATAGTCAGGTTAGATTTGACTTTTTCAATACGTTTTATTGGATAGGACGGCAAACAAGCAGATGTATTACCAGATAGTAAGTTATCAACATTCGCAACACCAAAGAACTGCGTTGTCAGCAGTTAAGGCACGGCTGGGGGTAATTAGAGTTTAGTAAATGATGAATGATAAAGGTACTGACTGAAGCGAGAGTGTGTGTGAGTGCGGCGGAGGGCGGGTCCTTCTGTCGCAGCCACAGCTCGGCGGCGGCGGCCAGCCACTGCACGTAGGCCGTCACGCAGCCCTCGGGGCAGCTGCGGCACAGCTGGCGGACCAGCTCGCACACCGCGCGCATGCTGCCGTTCACGCGCCCGCCCACTGCCACTTGGAACGCTGTGGGCAAGTACGGCCGTGTATGAGACATCTCGCAGGTAAAGTTTAGCACATTAAAATATAAATACGATTAAGGCTTAGATCGCACTACGGCGGAACCGACGCGGTTTATAAATCGCGTGACATATATTAAAATTAATTGCGGCTGTTTGCATAGTTTCGTGTTTCAGAAAATTGTGCAGTTTAAAATCGCCGCTGTTTGGCTGTAGTGCGCGGCCAACGCCTAGAAAGTATAAAGATAATAGAATATAAAATTGTAAGTATAATGGTCGCCACTGACCGTTGGCGTGTGCGTGCGCGTCCATGTTGAGCAGTGCGGTGATAAGCGGCGCGCGCAGACTGGGCGCGTGTCGCGCGGCCGCCAGCAGCGCTTGGTGCGCGTGCAGCGCCGCCGCGCCGCCGCCCGCCACGCAGGCGCACAGCGCGCTCACGGCGCCCGCGCCGCGCGCGCCCCAGCCGCGCGCCCGCGCCGCTGCCCGCGCGCGTACACGCCGCCACTACGCACGCCCAGTTGTTGCTCCTGCACACAAACATTATTACTTACACTCAAAACTTTTACCAAATTCAAATATAAAAACTACAAACTTAATCAAAAACAAAACACCATTCCAAATATTTAAAAAAAAAACATTTAGTAAAATGACGATCGGCACCATCTTATTGGTAGTAAGCATTGATATGGGCGACGATGGAATCATCATAATATTGAAAAGCAAAATCAATATAACAGAATATACTCACGTGGTCGGCGTAGTACTGGCATGGTTGTTGAAGGCGGGTGCAGCTAGTAGCCTAAGCTGCAGCAGCCCCATGTTGGAGGAGTCTCTCGGCTTGTAGAGCCGGATCTGCACAGTGGTGCACACGATGGGCCGCGCTACTACCAGCCGGATGAACGTCATCCCGGCCGTGTTCTGGGGCGGGCCCAGGGGGGCCAGTGTACCACCACAGCCTGCCTCTACTGCCACTGCTCCAGGGCATGCTGTACACAAATTCACGTTTAGGATACACGTCCACTTGTTTGTCGAGGATACTGTCTTGCGCATCGAATTTGAAAGAAAATGACACTTCACATTTCATTGCACGTTGGATAGCGTGGCAATCAACGATGAACGGCGCTAGCGGAAGATCCCCCTTCAACAGTTTTCAATCAGTAAAGGCTGACGCCCTTCTAACAAACATTTGAACTATATCTGTATAGAAATGAAGTTCCTAAACAAATAAGAGTTGTGTACTGACTGGCGAGGCTGGTGAGATGCGGCTGCAGTTGCACCTCGTGCAGTTGCACTGCGTAGGGCATGGTGAGCGTAAGTGCGAGGCTGGCGTCGTCCGCGCTGAAGAAGTGGTAGGACCAGGCCGCCGCGCGCACGCGCCGCGCTGCGCACGCGCCGCGCACCGACATGCCCCCGCCGCCGTCCAGCAGCACGTCCGCGGCCTGCGCAGTCGGGTTGCCGCACGACACCGTGCCTGCGGATACAGCTTACATTTACTAACAAGTCTAAAACCAATCATTTCTGCAAATAAAAGTAAAGAATCGATGTTGATGCTAGCTCAAGTAAAGTCCAATTATTGACATAGCTACAATATTCTTTTGTATACTAACAAGAATCTGAAACATAGTAAAAATAATCTACGAGTATGTGTGCTGTAGTTATCAAAAAAATAAGTATAATATTGTACCTATACATAAGGTACTACAAGTTTCAAAATATACCCATGTATATCAAAACTTACATAATGGTGCCATGTTAACCAATCCGTTAGCGGTTTCAATAACAGGCGTCTGATTCTTCTTGTTACCGGAGGCCGGCGTGGACAGGTTGATCATCTGAGGTGGTAGCTTCAGGTAGTTCATCAGAGAAGAGACTAGACCTTGACCATTACTTGGACCCGCCTGGAACAAATATAAGACTTCTGGAAATGTTCTGCTTGGTAAATAAGAGTGAATTTAAGTGTGAGAGAGCCATGCTTCGGCACGAATGGGTCGGCTCGACCGGAGTGATACCACGGTATCACAGAAAACCGACGTGAAATAACTAGTGTCCGACCGAAACTAGTTTTACGACCGAAACCGAAACCGACACCGAACATGCGGTCGGACACTAGAAATAACTGTTACATTGTGTTTCGTCGTATGAATAGGGTTACCGAAGGTCCAATTACCCTCCCCCCTCCCTCCCCAGTCTCGCTAATCCCTGAACCCCAACTATCTTCAGGAGCCTCTGGAATTCTAGGTGTCTTTGGGCGACGCCGATTGCTTACCATCAGATGAAACGTCTGCTCGTTTACAGACTTATCCCATAAAAAGAGTATTAAATTATAGTTGATGAATAAAATGCACCAAACAGGAGTTGGAGCAGGATGGTTTTAATCAGTCAGAATCTGACATCCCCTTCCGCCTCTGCTGAAATGATGGACTAAATAGTTTTTTTTTTTTATTTCCATTACCCCTCATCATCCCTATTCAATGATTACAAGATCAGTAAGTTGGAAGCAATGATTCCTATCAGTAAAACATACCTGATGACAGGCGGTGAGCTTCTCGAGCGCTAGTTCCATTCCGCCAGCGTCAATAAACGCAGAGAGTGCCTCTGGATACTCCAGCACCCTGATGATGAGCTGCTGCATCGCTTGAGACAGGTTCACTACTTCTTCTTTCTCTGTTTTGTAAGAATATAGATTGTGTTAACTTATTCAAGACAAGAAGTCATACATATATTTATGCTTCTATTACAATGCCCTGTTATACTCACTTATAATTAGTAGTTAACTTAAAAAAGATCAAACGGGTAAAATTTAAAACTTAAGGACTATTTATGATATTGTTTCATGTAATAAGCACAGGCATGGTGAACCATGCATCAGGCAGAATGACGGGTACTCTATACTATGATTTATTTTTAGCTGTGATCATTCGCAGCATTAAAGGCCTTATTGCCCTCCTGCCGCTTCTCTCTGCATGACACTTTCTAGGACCAATCTTTTCTGTACTACTATTGAATAAGTTTGAGAACATGGCTGCAAATGCTTACTATTATAAATGGGAAAGTGAGTTTGTTTGTTTGTTCCGGTTTCACGCCGTAACTTCTAAACAGATTGCGTTGAATTTTTGCAGACGTAAAATAAGAAGTCCGAATTAAATAATAGGGTACTTTTTAACCCGGAAAATATTGGTATTCC